CCTCCAGGGCCTGTCTAACAGTGCTAAATGCTATTGTTCCTGCAGCTGATGCTGCACTCGCTTTCCATCCATAGCTCCAGTGATTGCATCACTGCACTCCTACATCTGCCTTGAGCAGCTGTGACTGAAGCAAACTGACACAAAAATGGAGGTATGATCAGGAGCATAGCCCTCGTGGAGCTCTCCCTAGCTGGGGACTCCCTGAGCTGAGCTTGCTGCAGTTTGTGCCTGCAGCACTCCCCAGAACTGGGACTGCTGACCCTTGCTGTGCCCGGGCTGCCATGACTGACATCGACTCCAAACGACCCAAAGCTCAAACGTGCACCTTCCCAGGACACCAGCCTGGCTTTACACTTCACTGCTTTACACAGAGGTGGTAGCAATGCAAAGACACATCTTGACTAAAATTTCTAAGCACTGTTATTCTTCATATAGCAAAAAACCTGAAAGTTCTAGGCAAAATAACAATCGCTACTCACATTGCCCTCAGCTTCCTTGAAGCACCTTGGGTTGTAAGGTTGAAATTTGTGCAGCCTGTGGTTTCTCCATGTTGCAGAGGAAACAGAGGACATCCATGCATATGAGCAGACTTCTTTTACTCTTCCATATTCACTTTCATAAAAGCATTGAAACCTTTTGTTCTTTACCTTTTGACCACATCTGTTGCTTAGACACCTTGGTCTCCTCTGCCACTCCTCCCAGAATTCAAATCCAAACACTGGTTTGTCCTAGGGAAGAGTTAATACCTTAATATCCAATTATCCCACAAGTATTGGATCGGAGTGGATGACCATCAAACTTTGACAGACTATAGTGCCCTTTCCTGCAGCCTTAATCCAAGCTGCACACAAAATGACAGAGGGGAGGAAAAGCCCTTACAGTCAAAAGGGGGTTTGCATTCTGGTATGAAAATATTCAGAGGGTTTTTGACCACACAAAGAACACTTTGTACATAGATCTGGTTATATTCTTTGTTGTTTAAACAGTTCTGGAATGTTTTGGTGTCCCTGAGCCAGCAAACAGATGAAAACATTGGTCTGCCCTGTAGTTTTCTTCTTTTAAATTTATATGAGGAAGATTAACAAACAGCAGAATGGACAAGAAGCCATTTCAAAGCAGTGTTCCAAAGGAAAATTTTAGCTTAGTAAGGATAGAGATGTGAAATGTCAAGTACTACAACTGAAATGGTACAGGAAAAACTAACAGGGGATTGGAAAACAAGTTAAGCTGAACTCCTGGCTTCAGACTTCTTCAGGACATTCAGAAACCCTCCTCTGTACCACCCCAGTCCTTGGATATGCCAACCTGAAAGCCTGCTGAAAGGGGAAGTTTGTAGTAAGACAGCTCAGCATCAATGTGGCCTATTGTCACCTTGGGAACAGAGAAGTACTGCCTACATATGTCGTATGACCACAAAAACATCCCTGGAAACGCTATCTCAGTTTATAAAATCCTCAGTGACATTCATTACACATAACTAACCAAAGAGCTCACCTATTAACCTGTCACCTGTCGAGTTCCTGGTCTCCAATTTACCTCTTCACCTTTCTGCTTCCTAACAGCCCACTGAACTTTGTCAGGCTCCAAGATGAGTAGTAATCATGGTGCCATTAATATGACAGTCAGCAGCCTCTTCCCACTTCATCGGGCCTCACACGGATTCCTTGACATTAGACTTTAAGCCTCAGATCAAATCATCGAGTTTATGAGGCTTTCTCCAGTATAATTTTTCCAGCTGAAAAGCTAAAGGAGCTCTTAGTACACTCATATAATTTTCCTCAGCTCTCAGACTCTTTAGTCTTCTTTGTCCTACACCATCGGACTTTCTGAATAATAATCAAAATATTGTAAGGAACTGGATACACCTGGAAGCAGAGAAAAAGTCTGGGACATCCTGGTGTGAAGAGCACTGCTGCTGTTAGTACTGAAGTATTACTAGATTAATTATATTTAATTGGTTAGCTTGTGATCTAGCGTCCAAAATGAAAAAGCATTTTTACACACCAGAAAACTGTTGGGAAAATTAATATCAGTTAGAATGGGGAGGGGATATTTTGAAAGTAATTTGCAGCATAATAAATTAGTAACTAGGAAATAGTCAGGGATGAGCATACTGACTTGGGATATGTTGCAAGATAAAGCCCTTATTTAGTTGGCTAATTTCATGGCATTTTGAAAAACACATTACTCAATTAATGGTTTGAGGAAATACTTTGCAACTGTTCATGAATATATACAAAACACTCTGAATTTTTCATATTTTCACCAGAAAAAAAAAAGGAACTATGGGTTAATATGCAATAATAACAATCAGTTACTGAGACATGAACTGAAACAAAATATGAAATTAAAAGCTGGCTGCCCCCACCCAGCCAATGCACTTTATCCTAAGTCACTTGGCTGCCACAGCGATGCAGCCGGCGACTATCTCAGGACACAAGGCAGCCATTCTAATGGGATAAAGAGGACTTTCATCTCCAGATTCCTCCAGCCTGAATAATGCAATGGTGGCCTGTGACAAATGAGCAGATGAGCCCAGCCCAGTTGTAGGATGCCCACCCCAAAATGCCCCACAACAGGCTCACAACTCCCCGTACACGAGAACCTTTTGAGTTTGTGTAGGTTTGTTCCTAAGTCCCAGCTAAGAAACACCAGCAGCACAGGACAGAAAGCTTGGTTTGCAGCTACTGGGTCCTCCTACGTGTTGTGTGGATAACTAGAAGACTTTGACCTGAAGTCACCTTGTCCTAGTTTCTAATTCACTTTCATGCAGATGAGATGGCAGATCGGGGCCGAGGTATCCACACTGGCTCATACTTTCAGAAATGAAAGCTGCAAGATTTACTCATCTGAGTGACCACAGTTAGGTTCGCTTGCAGGACCGGGCCTTATTTTTCATGTAGGAAAGGATGGACCTCTCTAATTCGAAAAAGCAAAATGAGAAATACAGATGAAAACGGGGATGTGCTAATTCCTGTAAAACATTACTGGAAACTGCAGAGTCCAGACTGAACTGCCACTTCAAACCATGAGTGTCCCTTTAAGCAAAAAAAATCCAGCACAGAGAAGGAAGAACTAAAAGGAGTAAGAGGGGAGCTGATAAAACACTGCCATCACTATCTCATAAATTATACCCCAAAATGTTTCACAAAATTGAGTAACAGAGGAAAACAGAAAAGACCTTTTTATTTCTGCAGTACATTCCTTTGGCAAATGCAGGATAAAGCCCATCATGTGAGCTGAACTGTAAATGAAGGCCTTATGCTTTATAAAAATTCTCCTATTGTCCCAGGAAGGATGAGAATCAAACACAACAGTTTCAGCAATGCTCTAAGTCTTGTAAATAAAGTTAGCAGACAGGAATCAGCAGACTGCTTGGGGTGAGGGGGAAAAAAAAAGAAAGAAAGAGAAAATACTCTTTTTGTACACAAAATTTAGGCACACTGCTACTGCATTTCAGACCCGACTTCACTGTGCTATACCAGAGATTAATTGCACCCACACAATTCAGGAAACAGCATATGACATCCATCTACCTTTGCTGCTTCAGCATCCTCCCAAAAATATATAATGCAGGATTTTAAATAGTACGTTAGCCCAGTTTCCTTTCAAAAAGTCTTACAGAGAAGTTTAGGAAAATTCCAAAAGTAGCATATTGATTGCCTCTGGGATTTTCCACTTAGCAATTTAATAGAAAATTACACCCTTACCCAATCTGTGAGGTTTCCATAACCTCCCTCATGAATTTAATTTTCCAGCATGTAATAAATTTTACCATTCGGCATATTTGCTGATATTGCTTCACCATTAAGGATATTTCCTGATTTTGCTTTTCAGAACCACATATACTGTCTGTGTGGTGTTTGGACAGCACTTTGCACTGAAGAATTCAGGTCTGACTATGTCTACACGGACAATTAGGATACAAATCACTATTGTTGGTATTTAATTTGCTTTCCTCTTGCTGATTTTATGTCATTATTCCGAGTGATAGGGTCAGTCAGTATCACAGGCGCCAACGGGATTCTCCTAGGTACTCTGAGGAGACCAAGGGAAGATCTGCATTTGCATCTGTTCGAGTAGGCGTGTGCAAGTATCACATACTCTCCTCCTTGTCACAACACAGCCTGACTACATGTAAAAACACAAGATGACGATCGGAGCTGTGTTTGCAGTTATCAGTAGTCATAACTGTAAACGCCTGGGTCCCTCCTCTACAGGCAACAGGCAAAAAAGCACTCCCGGCTGTAAATAAACGCTCCACCCGCAGTGAAATTTAGCACAGTGAGCGAACTGGAAGTGTGGCCGAAGGCGTCAAGTGGTGAATAAATCAAAGCACTAATTTCAGCTGTGTTTGGGCCAGCCGTATGGCTGCGGTGACCTCGCGGTGACCGGCGGGAGGGCTGCCAGACGCCCTAAATCTCACTCCTCTGGAGAGGCAGAGACTCTTCCTCTTGCTAAGGCGATCCCGGTTTGGCTAAGGGACCGTCTTCCTCTCGCTGAGGCGATCCCGGTTTGGCTCGGCGTCCCTCAGCCCAGCCGGGGGCTCAGCGCTCTCCTCCAGGCCTCGCTCCGTGACACCAGCGGGCACATCCTTGTGGTGATTCCCGTGAAACACGGCAACAAACAGCTGTTGCTATCAGTCCCTGCGGATTGCCCACTTTCCCGCACGCCAAGTTCAACCCCATCCCCGCCGGACCCGGCCCGGTCCCGCCAAACCCCTCAGAGTTGCCCCCGCTCAGCCCTTCAGGGCGCCCGCGGGAGGCGCCGAGGGGGCAGCGCCGGTGCCCGAGTGCGAGAGGGCGGCGGGAGGGGGACACAAAATGGCGCTGCCCCTCAGCCCCTCGCCCTCAGCCCGCGGCGGGGCCGTGTGGCGGCGGGCCGGCCCCGGGGTGGCGGCGGCGGCTCCCGGCCGGCGGAACCGCCGCCTTCCTTCCCCCAGCAGGTGGCACCGGGGTCCCGGCGCCGCCGGCGAAGCCATTGCGGGCCGCCCTTCGCCGCCGGGCCGCGGCCGCGCAGCCGGCGGGGGGGAAGGCGGCGGCATCGCCCCCGCGGGGCTCCCCCCGCCGCACCCCGCTTTCCCTCAAAGTTCGGGGCGGGAGCGGGGGGGAGAGCGGAGCCAACTTGTCCCGGATCCCTTTATTCGCCGCCGGAGCCGCCGTGTCTCCCAACCCCCGCGTGTGTTGCTGATCGGAGGGACGGAGCTCGGTCCTGTGTCCGCCCCGCTCCTTCCTGCCCGCACCATGGAGTTCGCCCAGAGGAAGAGGAGCAGGAAATCCCAAAGCTTTAAACTGGTCAACGAAGGTGAGGCGGGGGCGGCGGGGCTTTGTTCGCTGGCCGGGGGCAGCCCCGACTTTTGCCCCGGGGGGAGCGGGGCGTTATGAAACGCCGGCGCCCCGGGGCCGCCGCTCCCCCGGCTCTGTTATTGAACTCCGCAATCCTCCCCCGGAACTCCCCGAAACCATTGCACGCCTTTTATGTATTTCATTTCTTTCACCCCCTTCCCTCTTTTTTAATTTTTTTTTTCATTATTTTTTTGCATGTGTGTTATGTGTTGTTTCCCCCCCCCCCCCCCCCCCCCCCCCCCCCCTCCGCCTCCCCCAGAAAGGTGGACGTGTTTGGTTTTCTTCCAGGCAGATCTTGCACAAAATAAAGTTAGATCGTGTTTCGTGGTAAATCCTGCTTGGGCGGGGGTGGGGGGGAAGAAAAGGTAAAATCGGGAAGCGAGCAAAAAAAATAATGACACTTGAGCGGCGACGGACCTTCTTAGTATTCAACTCTTGTGGATTTATTGGGTTTATTGTGTTTGGGGTGGGTTTTTTTCGTCCCCTCGGCTGTGTACATACGTGTATTTCAAAGAAAAGCTGAATCGAGGTTGCTTTATTAAAAATCCACGCAGGTAATTAATTGTACGTGGGCAGGGGAGAGCCGGCGGCGTGTAACTTGTTCGCTCGGGGTGTGTTTGCTTTTGGAAAAGAGGATATTTTAAAAGGGATCGCGAGGGGGAAATATTTGAATTCATGTCGGGAAAGAAGCACAGCTCTGTGTTTCAGTCTTGTTGTTGTTTTCTTTAATTAAAGGGGAAAAAAGATGCAGCCTCTGGTAGGCATTTTAACAGGTGGACTTCCCACCCCTAGGAATTTATTTTGGTTGGGGATTTGTCCCTTTTCCGGCCGATGAGATGTTTTTGCCCTGATGGATTTGATTCGAGATCGTTTTTCCTTTTGTGTTTTCAAGTATTGGACGGGAATATCTCCATGAAGCACCGTGTGTGTCCTGCATGCCAAGTTCAAGGCAGGTGACTGCTTGGGTGTAATGTCACACTGGTGAAAGGGGGGACACACATACGAGAGTGTCAGGACTTGCTGCCTGAAGAATGATGTCTTTGCAGGTGCTTGGCAAAATTACGTTCGATGGGAAGAAATTCAAAGATGAAAATAAACTCAGTAGGAATAGTAAATAATGACTGCTATATGGTGGTAGGGGGGGTCTGGAGCATCACACATGCTCCCTGTTAGAAACTAGAGGGTCAGTGACCTGTCAGATGTATCTGAAACTCTATATGCTTTAGCAAACCTATCAAGGGTTTGATTTTTGCAGAGAACAGGTTTGGGTTTTGGGTTTTTGATAGTGAACGTGCTCCTGACTGGGAGGCAGAGTTAGTGCAGGACGGGTCTAGAGCCTCAGAGTTGGTGAAAGTGAAACGTGGAAAAACAAAACTGAAATTGAAGACCTGGTTTTATTTCTGTCCTGATGGACTTGTAGAAAGAATACATGCACTATCAGAAACAGGTGATTATTTTGCCAGTCTCAGTTGCACTACTTACAGGTTTAGATATGCTTCAGTGCATGAGACAATCTATTTAACATTGTTTTAGTAGGTAAATTCAGCTATGATGGTACATTATTAGTAATTCTTATTTTATCTGGTGTCTCTTTTTGGATGTAGAATGTCAAATAGAAAGCTACACTAAAAGCACATCCTAGAGAGAAAATTACGTCTTTGTACTTTGAGAGTGGAGGAGATAAAAATCACATTTTGCATGTGAGTCTGCACTCGCATACGCTTTTTCTATCACAGTTGATTAGAAAGATAATTATGTATAAATAGTTGTCTCTTGTAATTGGCCTTTGCCTCTTGCAGGAGTCATTCCGTAATGTCACAGTTTAGTGTTTACTGTTGTGAAATTGATATGGATTTTTGCAGCGCCTGGACTGTGACATCCAAGGCAGAAGGAGGAAACCAAAGAGAAAAGGGTATGGTGTGTCAATTCATTGGTAACACACCATCTACCACACTGCTAATGGTGTGTGCCTGTACAATGCTTACTCTGTCCCAAAAATAACTTCAGAGCACCTTATCAAGATGATCAATAGTGACCAGATCAAGAGGAAATCCATTCCTGCGCTAAAATGCAGCCGCCTCTGGGCTGACATGTGGTGACTTTAAGGCATCAGCTGCAGACCAGAAGCGTGTTGTGACCAGCTGGATGTATGGAGCGAAGTGCTAGAGAAGAAACTGTGTGTAATGTACATATCTTAGGACCATGAGTCTGTAAGTCTTTTAAGTCCTAGTTTCCATGTACTTACTCCCAGCAGATCTTGGATGCCCTTGAGAGGATGAAGGTGCAGAGTGTGGTGGGTTGACCCTGACTGGCCATCAGGTGCCCCCCAGGCCACTCCCATCACTCCCCTTGCTCAGCAGGACAGCTACTGACCGTGGAAGGCAGCACAAATCCCGTTGTTTTAGCCTTGTGAAAGGAGTCTGTACTTCCTTGATGTCATTTCTCAAACTTCACCTTTACCTGTTTCGCTCACTGGGTGTGCTTGGGAGGCAGAGGAGCCCTTTGTGCAGCACCTCATCGCTGACCTCTCCAACTCCCTGCTGTGGTTTTTTTCCCCTCGTTTTCTTTCCAGGCCTTCTCTTTCTGTTGCGCCACTGTGTTAGGATTGATTTTAGTTTACTTACTGGGTTGTTCCTCCTCTTGTGCCCTCGAGACAGTCGTGCTATACAAATAAACAGCACATAACAAAAAAAGTTTGACTTCCAGGAGACCTTTCCAATCCTGTAGCTCTTTGGTCAGAGGTGCAGGTGTGCTGCTTGTGGGAGGACAAGCTGCTTATGCTGCCCTCTGTTTCTGTTGTGCCTTTTAAGTGAATCCCCCAAAGTGCTTTCCCATGAGTTAATCTCTGCCTTGCTTTTTGTGAGGCAAGTAAACATAAAAACCAGTTTATGGAGGGAGTAGCTGAGAGCGTTGGGAACTGGGAGGGCGTTGAAGGAGTGAGGTGGGGAGGTGGCTGTTTCAAGACACTGAATATATTGTTCGGTCTTGAGCGATTTGCCGAAGGACAAAGTGTGTGCCAATAGCAGAGTCAGAAATAGCATCCAGGAGAACTGCTTTAGACGCCCTTTTTTTTTTTTTCCTTGGACTTACTATTCCCTCTGTGCACACGTGTAAACAAAGCTCTCGTTCTACTGAACACCTGCCTGGGGTTACAACAGAGACCTTCACAGCAAAATACTCTTTTATTTGAAATAGAAATTCAGTGGTGAATTTTATTTTTTTAATATCCTGTAACATCACATATACAGAGATGCCAGTGTTTATTCTTAGGGTCAGCACAGACGTGGATTTCTAGGGGTGAATATCCTAAGGTGTCCCTGACCTACCTTTGTTCAGAATTTGAGGGCTAGTGATAGCAGTATGAGTCAGGATAGCTGAACAATACAGCTCTGATGTACGTTGCTGATTTCCTTACTGGGGTGAAGTTTGAAAGTTTCCCTTGGTCTCTGGGAAGGTAAAGTTTTCATTATAAATCTGTTTTCCATCTGTAAAACAAGAAGCCAGATAATTGGCATCTGGTGGGATAATTTGCTGTGAAAATGAACACAGTAATTTAGGGCAGGCATAGCTGCTCCCTAAAATCTGTGAAATATTTGAGCTGAATCTCTCCAGTGTGAGCAAAGGTTTTTTAGGAGGTGCTGATACAGAGCACATTTTCTGTGGTTAATTTGATGTACATGAAATAAACTGCAGATATATTGATAAATTATGTAGTAAAACTGTAGCAATGTGTTCAGTGTTCATTTTTTCCAGATCACTTGAGTTCTAATTTTTTTTATCGCTTTCATTCCAGATTACCATCATGAGATATATAAGATCTCTGACTACAGCAATGATGTTAATGGGGAGACCAAAGAAACACAACCAGTTTTTTTAGGTATGTGCTTGTGTTGATTAATTTCTGAGCAACATAGCGTGGCCATTTGCAATTAGGGAGGGAAAAAACCTCTGTGCAAGCACAGGAAGCGCCTGCCATTGTTTAATATGACGTTCTTTTCAAGACCCTTTTATTCTACGAATTGCCAATATATCCTTTATTAACACTGCTAAAAGTTGTAATTTCAGACATAAATGTTTATTAGTGTCTACACACAGTGCTAATTATCACTCACTCGGAGAGCCAGATGCTGACTCTGCAGTTTTGCAGCTCTGTGCTCACCCCATTTACATTGCATATTCCCTGGCATGCTTCACTGGCAATAGTTTGTGTAATTGGGGTATTACATCTTTGACATCTGGATAACAGAAATTCAATTTCCAGGAAGCTGCTATTTGTTTGGTTTTGCTTCTGCCTTGGGTGGGATAGAGGATTAATGTGCTGTCTTAATGTATTGTCCTTTCACCTCTGGAGCTTGCCTGCTAATCCTGCCATGGCAAAATTAAATTAAATCAACAGTTACAAATGTGTAAAGAAAATAGAGAAGTAATATAGAGACTACAGCATGATACATACTACAGCATGATAGGACTGCTAGGACTGGTTATCAGTGAACCTTTACCTTTCCTATGTGCTTTTTGTCCCGTGTAACTCCTCACCTGCGGAGTGCTTCTTCCTTTCCTGCTTCCCTCCTGTCACATCCAGGACCTCTCCTGAGTAAAGCACCTGTTGGCAAAAGTTTGGCAGGCCAAATTCATAGAAGTAAGGGTCAGATTTTTGAACTACCATGACTCTAGCTGTGTAAAGTAAGCTCTTGGACACCTTGTTTGGTCTTAGGAGAAAGCAGGTGCTTTTGCAGCAAGAAATCTGGAGATGTCTGCCTCTCCTTAACAGCACCAGGAGCCTAAATATTGTTGTGGGGTGATTTTAGATTTCTGTAGTCTGTGCATGTTGCCCCCTGCAGCCGGCAAGAAGCACTGGAAAGTGGGAGTCAGCACCTGAAGTCAATCTGAGTGCAAAATGCCCTTGTCTCCTAAATGCATAGTGTCACATCCTCTTCTAGAGGTCAGCAGCAAATTGGAGATAACAGGAGGATGTTTTGGGCAGTGTGGAATCTTCTGATGATTGGAACATTTACATGGGGGTTGGAGCTGTGTTAAATTCCCTTCTTAGCTTCTCACCATTAGGATATTGAGCAAATATTTCTTCCCTACACCCATTTCCAGGGAGAAGCAATAGTGTTTGCTGTGCTTTGTGTTTGGATTTCGTGTTTTGTAAGCACTTTTGGTGAAGTCTGATAAACCTGATGGAGTGAGCTCCACCAGAGGTTTACTTCAAATAACTTTTTCTTCCAACCCTAAGTCATGATAAAGATTTGGCAAGAATTAGGCATCAATCTGCTTAAGCCAGGGTACTCTAAGAATGTACAGGAGTCAATTCTTTGACATCTGTGCTGTGAGTCAGACCAACTGATTTTGAGTTTGGTTTGGTTGTATTGTCCTTAGATTTGTTTTGGGTCTGTTATTTTTTATTATGCTCAGCTTTTCATTGTGACCGATGGTGCTCTGGCATTTAAGTGCCTCAAGTTCACCTATTTCAAGAGTCAGTCAGAATTTAACCTTTAAGAATGTGAGTTCTATCAAGGATCTTCCTTATCAGGTACTGAAGCACAGAGTTGCAGTCCTGGGAGCCAGCCCTCAGTTGCTATGGAAAGGAAAAGATGGTATTTCCCGAGTGTCCAACCTTTAGATTTCCTCAAAATATGCTGGGTCTGACACTGTTGAATGACATGTGACCGTGCAAGATTTGCAGACTGGTGTTAGGGACTGAATTTAGCAGAAAGCACTTGAAATCTGGACTCCCACTTTTTGACAGGGATCTGGTATACATGGCATTTGGCATTCCAGATTTCCTTTTAGAAAATTCTCATTGCAGGGGGTAATATTTCTTTGTTGTTCTTCAGGGGTGATGGGATCACAACCCTTTCCCCAGCTCTGTGTCCTGTCCACTAATAAGGTGCTTCAGGGTATTGTCACTGCTTCACTTGATCTCACTTTTTCATGCCAAAAGTTACCCAAGGAGGATGTTTCTTTGCAGCTTGTTGGTTTAGAGTCAAGTTTGTTCTCTAATTTAAGTGATCCATGGGATCAGCTGTTGAAACCTCAATGTGATGCAGCCTTTAGCATGGAATGGATGCTAAGATCCAGCACTGAAGCTATTACCTTTAAAGAGGTGAAATGTTAGTGGCACTATATAAATGAGTGAAGATTTATCAGGAGTCAGGAATGGGATGTGCAAAATGTTTTGGCTGCACAGCTGAGCACAAAGAACTCAAACTGAAGACGTGCTGTTGAGAAGAGGGAAGCTGCTAGGGTAAATAAGTAAATCAGAAGAATCCAGCCTGTTTAACATACAGATAAATTAAGGATCAAATGTCAGGAAAGACCTGTTAAACCTAGATAGTCTTTTTTGCATCAGCACAGGTGGGCAAAATACGGCTTTGTGTGGGGTGAAAATTGGAGGAAGCTTCAGTGCAGTTAAAGGAACATGGTAGTGGACATGAGTTCTGATGGTTGTGATGGTGTAAATTCCAATTGTTTTTTGAATGGAGCTTGTGAAGTTGTCTCATGTGGTGGAGTGTTGAAGTGGGAGATGTGGTGGCTTGTCCTGTCCTCTGATCCTTTGTTCTGATAAGATGATGAACAAGAAGTCACATCCTTCTAGATGAAGGACATGCTTAAACACAGTCTTTAAAAAATTTTGGGGGAATGTAGAATATCCCCACTGCATTTTGCAGATGAGCCCTGGAATGTCTTTTGTTTTGAAGGGAAGGGCTTAGTTATCTGATACCAGGAGAGGCTGCTCAGTCTGAGAAGGAAGAGGCATCCTCGAGTGAAGTGCTTAAACCTCAAACATGGACAAGATTTAAGACAGACCTGACTTGAGATTTTACTAGTTATCAGCATAAACTTCCTGTCATAGGGCTGCAGGCCCAGACTTGGAATTACAAACCCATGGGGGGACTGTGTTATGGACAGTACTGGTTGAGCTTAGCTTGTCCATTGAAAAAGAAAAAAATTTTTGCATACACCGTAGTGCTTTTTTTTCAGTCTTAATATTTTATTACCATCACAAAAAGGTAGAAATATAGTATACCTCCTTTTTACAATGCTTTCAACTTGAAATTCAGGCTCTGTGTTTGAAAGGTTAATGTAGAAAACTAATTATATTATCCTGGTAATCAAATGTGTGATGAGACATTTGTCTGTGTAATTAACAGTGAAGAACTTTTATAGTTTCATAAAATCGAATGCTACGCACAGTGTGCTTGGAGCATTTGTTTTGAAGAGATGTCCAAAACAGAGATGTTTATGACTGATATAAAGTGGAACTGAAATGTACTGTAATGCAGGTGTCTGTGCATTTTACAGCATTTCGCATTGTTGAAGTGGAAGGCAGCAGATTAATAACTTCACTGTGTCATGGTAAAAATAAATAATGTGTTCTTGGAGCAGGGGAGCGATGCATAAGTTACTCACTAATTTCAAGAATTTATTCTGTCCCAGAAATTATATCCTTTGCAATTTATTCACAGAGAAAAAGTTGACTTAACAAGTAACTTCACACACCTGTGTTACTGTTAATAGGATTATATCCCAAGTCTGGTTGTAGCAGTAGTGGCTTCTGTAATTAAGACTGCATAAAGTTTATTTTATTGTGTCTGTGGTCTCTAATGATCTAACTTTGTAAAGCATTCCTCCTTGGGGATGAAGCATGATCTTGACCTGGGATATTTCCAAGAACTGGGGGAAGTTGTTGCATATCTATTATTACTTTTTTAATTATATGACCCCATTAATATATACTTTTGTTGAACAGTTGCTCACTTGTCCTTTCCCGAGTGATTTAGCTGTTGCAGTGTGGCATCAAAGTGTGTTACTTGGGCTTCTGTAGCTGCTCCTGTTAGGTGTTTCTGAAACTTTTTCACCAGGCTCTTCCAAAGAGTTGTTTTGTGGTGGTAGTGATGGCTGTGCCATCTAGTCTGACCCAGCTTCCAGAGAAATAACCCCCCCCAAATCCTGAATGATCTCAGGATCTGATCCTGGGCTTGATTCTGCAGATTGCTTTGCTTACATTAGTGTTTGTGGTGCTTATTAATTTTGTGTGTCTCGTGGTGGGCAGGGTTATCAACCCATGTACTTCTGTGCTGGCTTTGGGAGTAGGGGGTCTAATTTGAGGGTGATCCAGCTTTCCTGTAAATACAATGTCAGTGCTTTGTGTGGTGACATGAAGAAAGGCAAGTGCTTTTAAATGATGCTTTAGAGCACTACTAAGATACCTCAGCTGAGACAGCTTAAATGTCCCTATGTGTTAGCTTGGGGTAGTCAAAGTTCCCAGCTCATAACTTGTGTTGCCTGTGTGACCCTCTGACATGGTGCATGACCACTGCCCTCCCCCATGACTTGGGGTTTAGATTTTGCATTTACCGGGAGTGTTGTTGCCCATGTTCTTTCTTCAGTGTAGGTTCTTATATGCCAGCACAGACCAGGTATCCCTTTTTTGGGAATTTGTGCTTACCCCATGAGTTCAGCTACGCAGATGCCCGATTCCAGTTATGCACAGGGCAGTTACAGCAAGTTTCCACGTGATTTAGGGAACCTTTGATCCGATAAGGAACCACGCACATGGCTCCTCTATTTCCCCCGTGCTGACCTTCACAACTTTCTGTTTCAGGATCATTTCTGGTATGGGATGACAGCGACAAAAATATCTTGATTTTTGAAAATTATTATTTGATGTGGGTACAGTTTTTGCTGAGAAGGGATGCTGGGCTCCCTTCTGGGATAACTGTCTCTGAAGGAAGCACGTGAATACCCTGTAGCATTCCAAGAGGTGTTTGGTGAGTTCAGCCTGGCTGAGCAGCAGGGTCGTGTGCCCTGTGCTGCGGGTGCCTCCTTGGGCCGCTCTGAATCAGCCCTTACACAGAGTCTTCAAACACAGCAGCTGAGTTTTGCTGGCCCCCTTCCAGGGAGGGCAGGATTCAAGTGGCATCTAATAAATTGCAGTTTAATATGTTTGATTATATAACCCGTTGCAACTATTTTGTTGTTGTTGTTGTTGAGCTTTCAAGCCATATGCATCGACTTCCACTTTTTCTCACTTCTGAAGCCTCACTTCCCTACAAACCAGGCTGTTGTCAGCTCACATGTGCTTGTCTGGCTGCCTGTTGCTGCTATTCCTACCCTCCAGATAACTCCTGAATTCATCCACTAATTTCAGCCTAGTTGGACACAAAGATGGAAATCTGAGATACAAAACCTGATGGAGGAAAAAGCCCTATTTGTACAGTCAAGAAAGGAAAAAGTTCCATAGGAGTTTCAGCTGCCCAAACAACATAAAATTAAACATTAATTAATAGAAAAAAGTCAGCTACCCATGAATATTTCCCAAAACGTGAGAGAAACATAAATGTTAGAAACAAAGAAATTAATTGCAAAATGTTGGACCAAGAGAACATTATGGCCATTTGTTTATGTGAGTCAAAGGAAGAAAATATCAAACACAGATGATTGTCCAACCTTAACTCTATTTACCCAGTTATACACTTTAAACCACTCATTATTACAGGTGTGGTTACCACTTCTCTGATAGTGGGATAAAAGTAATATTTGAACATGTGGGTATGATTATATATAATTTTTTAATTCTTTGCAGTGCTGTGATAATATTTGACAAACTGTTTGGGAGAAGTGTAAGAACTTGTTGGTAGACAATGTGCCATATCTAGATTTGGTTTAATAAGCATAACAGTGAAAAGATGGACAGTCATATAGAGGCAAAGAGTGTAATGAATTATTATTAATATTTTGTTAACTGCAGTTGTTTACAGGTTTATTTCTTCAGACAGCTGCACACTTAGCAAGTGGATTCTACTACATCCTGGGACAGTTCTGGTTTACATTTGTGCCTTTGTAATTTTAAACATTTTTGCAACTTTCAAAGCAGGAAGTTTTTATGTTCTGTATACTTTCAGCAAGGAAATAGATTGAAATGAATTTTGTGAAAATTACTTTTCAAGGGTGTAGCTTTTATTGAAGAGCTTTGTTTTGCTTTTTTTGTTGTTGTTTTATAAGATTACAGGTCAGGTCATGTGGAAAAAAGTAGGTTGTGTATAAGGGTCCATCATAGAAAAACCTATAACAGTAGCTATTAAAAATTGTTATGTTTTTGTTGTGACAGTTACTACCTGTATATACAGCCCTGAATAGGGCTGTACCTTGTCGTGGTTCTATTTTGAGTAGCATTTTGTAAATATTTTAGTGTTTTGCAAGTAACTTCATTGGTTTCAGACAAAACCCAAGGGTTTACGTAGGGAATCCAAGTGGCAAATCCTGTAGCCACCCCTTTGGAGGCATTCCCATCTCCTTGGGAATAGTGAGGACTCCTGTTATATGTGCAGGGAGAGGCTGAAATAGGCACCACTCTTCTCAGGCCTTAACATCTATCTTGGAAGGATTTTCACGGATAGGTAATGCAGATTTCTATGTAATAAACTATTTTTTTTCATATTGATTATCCTATTCAGCATTTAAAAAGGAGGGCTGGCTCTTCTGTAGGACGTAGTAGCTTGAGTTGTTCTGTTTTCCCTGTGCCCCATCTTCCTTTTTTTTTTTTTCTTTTTAGCTTTTTAAATTACATGTTTATTATCTGTGAAAATTATCAGCAGTGGAATAGCTGATAACAAAATGCTCTCATGGGGCTCTAGAGCTAATAGCCAAATGAGAGAACCAGGGAGCAAGAAGTTAAATCTGTTTAGTTAAATCTATGTTACTCCTGTCTACAGGTTCAGATGGTGTAACATCAGCTGCTCTCCACTCCTGTCGGGCAGGATGCTGCTCTTCCTGGCCTATTACAAGCTAAAGCTGTAAAAAGTCATGACTGGGAGAGGAGGGATGTAAATTTGCACTGAAGACTTAAGTGAGGCTTGTAGTCCTGTAGGACTCGATGATCCTGATGGGTCCCTTCCAACCCAGCATATTCTGTGATGGTTTATTGCCCTTCCTTGTAAAATAGAAGGCATATTTAAAAACCAAATCAAAACAACAAAAGAAACCAAAACCACCACTACCAACAAAACAAACAGAAAAATTCCTAAAAAAAACCCCCAAAATGCAAACCCTAACAAACAAGTTTACAAAAGGGGACTCTCCTTCTTTAAGTAAGGATTTACATAAAGTTCAGGGTTTGTTGTAACATAAATTTAGGGGGTTTTATTTGGAGTTAAGTATGCTCATGTCACTGTATAGGAAGACTTCTATATGAAGGAACAAGGGAACAGAATCAAGGCTGAATAAGCTCAATTAACATTAATATTTTATGTAATTGGGTAACGGAAATTTAATCTTTCTAACAACATGTCACCCGACCAGACGTGTAGCACAGTCACTGCACCCGCCAGGAGGGGGTGGGTGGGAAGCTGTTCTGATACTCACTTACATTTTGCCATTGAATACAAATCCAAATTGCCAGCATAAAATTCTGAGAGCCTGGTGTAATGTTAAATGGTACAACAGTAAGGGTTTGCTCCAGGCTCCGGTGTGGTGGGAGTGTTTGGATCTGGGCTATGAGCAGGTACAGCCACGTACAGGAGAAAAGGCAGTCTGCAGTGTACGGGTCTGAGTGCCTCAGCAATTGGAGTCCAGCGGTACTCTGCAGCCTCTCAAGGCTGGGAACTGCAAACAGCCAACCCCTGGCTGGGCTGAAGCCAAAAAGTGTCATTTTAAAGGAATTGGTGCTGTGATTTGTTAATTAAATCACACCCGCACACATAAACCTGCGGGCAAACCAACAAAATAAATAAATACAGCGCAGAACTCCCTTGCAGAGGGCTTTTCTCGCCGCTTTAGCTGGAGTGGAAGCGGTGCTGGAGTGTCGCTGTACGGAGTTAGCAAATATTTTTCTAAGTTTGGACTGGAAGCTGTCTTGCAATCCACCCACTCTCCTCGCTGGATCGGGGTGGGCTGGAGCCAGCTGGCACCAGCCCAGGGAACCGGTGCACCAGGTCAAGCAGGAGATGCTGGGATCCAGCAGAGGCTGGAGTGGATCGTAGAGCTCCTGTCCCCTTCTACTTATTCGCCTCCTAGAGCAAAAAATCCCTCTTTCAGGTGCTGCACGTCCCTAGCTATGCCGGGTTTGCAGTGTGTCCCAGCCACACTGAGCTGGGGAGGGGTTTGCTGCTCTTTTATCTGTCTGGTGTAGCTGCTCATAGGCATGCATCTAAGTTTAAGGAACTTATTAGAGCTGTTAAGCTGATAAAATTGTTCACCTGCCTCACACTTTCAAATAGCTTGTTAAACCAGAGACAACACACCTTGCATCTTGGATTTTGGAGAGCTGAGGTTTTCTTCTTCTGAAATTTTCTTTGCGCTGTAGCTTTGCCACAAATAGGTTTATTTTGGGAAGCACGAATGTCAATTGACTGGAGGATACCAGACATTACTGTATTAAGAATAGTACAGAGGAAGGTTGATTCCTCAGTTTCTACATCTTTGTTTTCCCATTTGCTTAGGGTGTTTCATTTTTCTACAACCAGTAAAAAAACCAGCAGCTTCTTAATTCAGAAGGGGCAATGAACACTTCCTTATTACTCCTGAAATGTAGTGTATGCTTTAACGAGCGAAATAGCTGCTATCTGCCCAAAACACATCTATTCATTGTGCAATCAGCAGTTTCATACGTAAAATTAATACTTAAATGGTGCCAGGAGTATTAAAGTGTATAACTGTTATTATTTAAATGCCCTGAATTTATTTGGAACAGTCACATTTTTCTTGTGTATATTTTCATTTTGTCTTTATAATCTACATTTTCAAGACATCTAGCAGGTCAGCTATATACAGTTATACACATTAGCTACTGTTTAATTTATTCCTGTATAATCCAGTATTGTTAAGTTCTGTGGACTAAGGAACTGATTCTGTTCATTAAAATCAATAGATGCAGTGTTGGTGTGTGTCTACGTGTGATGTGGTGCTTTTTGTGTTTGGTTTTTTTTTTTTTAGGGTCTACCCTTCAGCATACAGCAAACTGATACATAAAGGGTCTGATCCTTTAGGCATTACTCGGGGAAAATATCCACTGATGTCAATGCCTGAATAGGATCAGTCTCTTAAAAGGACTGTTTATTTGAAACTGCTGTAGCTATTATTATTTCCTTCTGGCAAAAAATAATCTCACTCATCAAAGCTTTAGAAACAGCATCAAGAAAGCCAAGTTCAGCAGGTCTTTCAGCCATGAGAGCTGTCAGCCATGGCTGTGTGAAAGTGCAGCCTGGAACATCCCAGCGACCACTCAACCATCCCTTTTCTTTCTTGTCTTTATTTATTTAATTCTGTGCTCCAACTCTTTTTGGTATCTAAAATCACTAATCTCTACCCATTACTGTTTTTGCTAATTTACAGTGATAACTGTGGCTCTGTTTTCATTAGGAGATGAAAGCCGGGAAATTAAAAAACAAATTACAGGGATGAGAAGATTACTGAATGACAGCACTGGAAGAATCTATCAACGGGTTGGCAAAGAAGGAGAAAAACTGAAGGAGGAGCCCCAAGATTTAGACTTAGCCTGGGCCCAGCGCCTGAATCCCCCTGCAGAGTCCCAGGCGAGCCTTCATCCCTCCCAGAGCGGTGCCTGGAATGAATTATCACCCCAAGCCAGCCATTTTTCAGGGCAGTACGGAACTCGATCCAAAACGTTCCAAAATCAGACTCGAACTGTGGCATCCAATGGTATGATCTGTGTAAGATACTGAGAATGGTACTTTTTTTTTCCCCCTCTCCTTGTTCTGTGCTAAATATCTGCCTTTGTTGTGATGATATATTGTACCACTGCACTGAAAACAGTTATAGTTCAGAGTCTACAAAATGAGCACATAGTTATCACTTCAGAAAGGTGTGAAAGTGGGCACAGTGCATTCTGCTACCATCTGTCTTAGCTTTTAAAATGGTTTCCTGGTGATAGGACAGAATTACTCAATGCTTAATTTCTCTACAGTACTTACTAAAACAGCTTTTGCCATTGTTATTAAGTTCATGGCTAATTAAATGTCAACCTCTACCACTCCTCTTTGCCATGAGTAGTGTAGCGCTGTTGTGACACCACTCGTGGAGCAGGATTTTACTGCCTTTCACGAGGGGATGGCATCAGCCTTTTAACAGACCACTGAACTGCAGGGACAAAATTCTGTCACAGCCATAGGCTTTTATTCCTATGAGACCGTCGGAGAAAAGAAGTGATGAAGTCTACCTATGAACAGTGTGTACTAGAGCGTGGCTCTTCTAGTACTGGCAGAGAATTCTGCCCTGAGGTAGATGGCAGTGTGCCTTTAAGATACCTTTCTCTTGTTGTGTTAAGTCCCAGAGAATGAAAGTCTTGCTGCCACGTTAAAAAAACTGTGCTGTCAAAGTCCCACCATAACAACCTTCTAAATATGGAAGGACACAAAATTCATCACATATCTGCCTCCTTGCCCTGAGAGGCCCTGGGCACCAGCAGGGACAGTTCTCTGCATGCACAGAAGTGCCCAAGCCTGCACAGATTAGGTGCCTGGTTCCCAAATCCAGAAAGTAGGTGGAGCAGCACCTCTATCCCCTCCGGGGCCTGATTCAGCGTGTGAGCTAAAACACGTTGACAGGATTTGGCCCCATATGCAAGAAAATGTCAGTGCTTTGATTTTTTTTAATGTGAGGAGGAAGGGTTCAGCTGATTTATGATACCTTACAGGTTAGAGTGGCCTGTGGGACAGTGAAAGAGTTGGGATGAGCAACCTCCTGGGCTGGACAGGAGGAATGCCCAGGCTCCCAGCTCTTGGGGAAGTGCCCCAGGAGGCACCTCCCTCTGCAGCTGTCCTGCTGCAGAAAGGAATGCAATCTTTTGGGTTATTACATAAAGATGGGTGTGGGCCCTCTCCACTGGCCACCTTTGAAAAGACAATCTGCTTAGCAATTTGGTAAGAGGTGTCTGCCTACAGTGAGATGTGATCAGGCTGGGCAGTTTTGCTGCTTTGGCTCCAAAGCCCGGACTCTAGGAAAGGAAAACTTTTGATGAATTTCTGGGCTATGAGCAAGCTCTAAAACTGCTTTTCACCCAGCACACAGCTCTTCTGGGCATTCTGACATGCCTGATTCCCCCTGTCCCGTGCATTGAAAGCATTGAAAGCCTGAGCATCTAACTCAGCATTTTAGATGTTATTCAGCGGATGGACAAAGGCCCTAAAAGCTGAGTGTAGAGATGCTGAACAATACCTCAAGGGAGATACTCCTCCTTGGTACTTACCATGGTGTTTAACTTACCAGAGCAAAACTGTCCAGGCCTGACATAAGGTTGTTACCTGGGGCTGTCAGGCTGAGGTCATCACTGGGAAGATGTTCAGGTATCTGTAGCAGGTGATCTGAGTCCAGAAACTTTCTGTCCATTGTGGATAGATACTATATAGGAAGTAAAGGTACATCCTATAGGCCCTCTGAATTACTCAAATTTGGATGCAGTAGACACATCAAGTCCATCTCACTGGTACAATTACCTACTCATAGGATGGTTCAAGGAGAGGCTGGAATGGATGTTTAACAGAAAGCATTAGTGAGAAAGGTACTGACAAAAATAGAGCAAAGGAGGAATGGGGGGAGCCTAGACATTGCTACAGCAGAGGAATGAGTACGAACATACCTGAAAAGCAAAATGATTTACTCCAAGCCAGACTTAAGATGGCAGTTCCACAAGTCAGGATGTTGGGTAGACACCTGTGACCCACTACATTTAGGGGAAGCCCCTTGGGGCTACAGTGAGCAACATGTCTGCCCTGTTTGAGACAACAAGCTCACAGAGTCTTTCTAAGACATTTGAGTTTCTTATGTTCTGTGGGAAATCCAGCAGTGATACAGCAGCTGAATTGCTTTTGGGCTATATCAAGATCATTTTCAATGGGTAGTACTTGCATGCTCTTCAGATATAAACTGGTAGCAATGTTACAACAGGTGAATTCCTTCTCAATAGATCCAGCTTCAAGAACTGCTGTTCTGGGCTCCTTACTGCTCACACAGGGAAAGCAGCTGATGTATTTGTGTCATCTCCTCCTCTCAGTCATACAAGCAGGTATCAAATTTGCCTGCTGGCTAGCTTCCAAAAGAGAGGGAGATGGCTCTTTAAAGGCTCTTTCATAAAAATAAAAAGTCTGATCTCCTTTTAAAATTAAAAATTGATTTATAACAAGTAGAAAAGGGTTGCTTTTGTCCTCTAAAAATGATAAAGATAGTGCTTGGAACAATGACTGAGAGCACTCTACGAGATGTTTCTTACAATACAATAACTGATCAGAGGAGGGAGGATAGAAAGAAAATAAAAAACCTTCATGAATATGTATGGAGTCAGTAGAACCCTGCTTTGATTTGAGATATTGGTGGTCTCTTTTCCCATTCCCAGTACCTATGGTAGATTTACATGGGTAATTTCTATCAGTGCTAATGGGGATTGTAATGTAAATCCCCTGTGCCTCAGTGGGAAAATAGACCCTTTGGTTTTCCATCAGGAGCCTGTGTGCTTTCGTTAGGAACACGTTACAGTGCCACAGGAAAGATGTACAGGTATTTACTGGTACCATTTGTCCAAGTTTTCACATGCAGTTTACCAAGTTTTTATTAAGAAGGAAACAAAAGCCACCAGCCCTGGTTCCCCCCTATGGTCTTTTAGATACTGTTTCCGGAAACCCACTAGAATATTGGATTTTGATCAAGAGAGAGGGCTGGATTTATCTTGAGAAGCTGATTAGTCTTTAAACAACTGAGAAAGCACTGAAGGAAGGATGTTCTATTAATAAAACTCTCCTAATTTCCTGGGACTCCCATTTCTGGGGTACCTGCTTGTCTTACTGAAAGGTACAGAGTTATGCTGTTAAATTATAAGTAGTCTTGAAATTCATCTACCTGAAAGTCTACCTGTAACAGGTAGGTAAAGGGTATTAGTGGAGTCAAGGTGAGGGATTCTGAGTAATCTGCTGCAAAGCTAAAGATAACATTATTTTTTTCCCTCTCTCCCTATAACAATAGGCTAAACACTTTATGGACCATTGAAAAGGTAAAATCCTATCCATGCCCCAAGGAACTTCCAATGAATAGACAGTGTACAAAGGAAGGGTGAGATCAAACTAGGCAGAGTCCTGCTGAGTCAGAAACCTTTTTGTTTCAATTGGAGACTCACAGCCTGTTTTCTAGATAACTTCTTAGTTCTAAAAAGTTGTTTTATTTGCAGCTGAAACTTCGGAGAGGTGAAGCCAGTTGTACTATTGCATTTGTTTGTATTTGCTCGATTTGCAGAGATTTTTGAACTAGTCCATTTATCTCAGTGCAGTTTTAACATGTATTTGTCCATGGATGATATCTTAAAATACCAAAATTTATAGTGTGGACAGTCTGAATATCTGAGGAAAAGAGGAGAGTGACACCCAGAAAATGTCAGCAATCTTTAAGGGATACATCAGTTCAGCTTTACAAGTAGCTCACTTTTGGTGCACGACCATCAGTTTGCTCAAGTCTGATGGGTATTGCTTCAGATCTGAAGGACTGAATGGAAGGAGGTAGAGAACAAGTGCTTGGGAAGGGAAATGTGAGGATGGAGGGACAGACTGGAAGAATTAGGAAAGAATGGTAGTGATTTAGGGATGGTCAGATTTTCAGCCATTTCAAGTGAGGATTGAAGTCAGGGGATCTCTGTGGGTCTGACATCAGGGAGCTCTGATGAAAGAGCACAACCCAAACCTAAAATGATATTTGGCTGGTTTGGCTTCAGAGGAAAGCAAAAGTAATAACTAAAAATGGGAGGATTTATGAGTGGAGATTAAATGAGTTGCTTATGTTCACTTTATCTGGGTAATGATTAAAGGGCACCTGATAAGTGTCAGGCTATGGAAGAAAAAGGAAAATACTCTCTCCAAAGTCCACATGTGACACTAAGTGAGGTGATTCTTGTTAGGTCCATTTGTACCTGTCCTTGTAAAATGATCATCCCTCCTCTTGCATGTTTTGATGAGCAGTAAAATACCCATCAATTTAAATGACTGTAAGCATATTTTGAATGGAAGGGAGTTGCATCCCATCTGGCCTCAGTTTCAGCCAGATACTGCTAGGTGTTTTGTTGAATTTAGAAATTTTTATTTGCAGCATTAAAGCTGGGGATACAGCTATTTTAAATTAAAGTGCAGGATACAGCTATCCAGATAAAGCCTGAAATCTGTCAGCTGTTACAGCTTGTCCTAATTCAGGACCTACAATGCAAAACTTCTGGAAAGCAAGGCAGTAATAAAGGCAATGCTGAGGACTAGAAGTATGTAAGTCAAACTAAACACTAGTAAGAATTACTAGAAAAAAAGAATGTCTTGAACTACTGTATTAATTTTCAAAGGGATACTGTGGAAAGCCCATCTTGTAGGTCACAGTGCTGGAAAACATATCATAGAAAACAATCCCACCCTAGCAAACAGAAGGGCAGATTTGAAAGCTTTCTTTGCTGTGGTTCTTTTCTGTCCTGTTTTTTGGGGTAATTTTATTTTCATTCTCAATTCTTCACGTGGTAAAGAATCACATGTAACATTCAAGCAGTTTAAAAATTCCTAGACCCTCATTTGATGTACAGTACAAACCTTTATTACACAAAACTGTCTTCATTCTTTGTAAGACTGTTCCTGGAGATGGGCTTTTTTGTATGTGTGTGATAAAGTGAGCATGTTTATAATGAGGTTTGGTGCTTTTGTTATTCAAGATGAACCAACCTGACAATAGAGAGCCCTGCTGTGAGGAGTGCATTGTATTCAGGCTTTTCTCCAGCCCATGTAACATTGCATCCCAACATGTTAGTAACTGGATAAAAACAAGTGGCCCTTTCCCCTGAAAAGGGACCATGCTGAAAATTACTTGCTTTCTTGCTTTGGATCTAGTTTCACAATCTGGTATATTGATAATAGTTTCAAACACCTGCAGCTAATTGTTGTTTGGGTGGTTTTTTGTGGGTTACATCATCTTTCCCCCATTTCATTCCTCTCTCTTTCAGGAGAAATCCCAATGGTGAATTCATCAGTTGGACCAAACTGCTGTACATGTAATTGCCAGTCAACCCTGCAAGCGATTCTTCAAGAGCTCAAGACCATGCGAAAACTGATGCAGATTCAAACAGGTACAATGCAGATTCAAACAGCTACAATGTCCCATATGTGTTTATCTGTGACAAGCATCTAGTTGAATATGGCCAAGCTCGTTGCAGGGATGTTGAACTAGATGATCTTTGGAGGTCCCTTCCAACCCAAACTGTTCTGTGATTCTATGATCTTCCTGTTAGGGAATGGTCTAATAAGACAGAAAAGTCTGTGTGGACACTCAGGAAAACTTGGGACTATTTCCTGCTCTCTTGACACGTTGTTCAAAGTCAGATTTTCACAGGTTTCTTGGAAATGTAATTATTACTTCTCAGATCCTTACCTGTAACATGGGATTTTATCTTACAGGAATCTTTTAAGGCTAAATTAAAAAAAATAAATCTAATGTGATTAGATACTCTTGTAATGAGAGCTCAGTGGGTAGGTCAATATGCCATAACCACCCCCAGTTTGTTTTCACAGTGCTGCCTAATTTGTGATTTGCTCACCAGTTCACTAATCTGAGCGGTAAGAAAAATGAAATTGGAATTGTCTAGTTCTCTGCTAGTTTGGGAGATGAAACAGAACAGTGCAGAGCCAGAAGAGCTCTAGAGCCAGCAAGATAGTGAGACCATGGCAGGTAGGAGCTAGGTAGGTCATCATGGGCTGCTGGGAAGCTAAAAATCACTATTAATACTAATAAAGAGTTGGACATGTTGGAGATTTTTTCAGTTGACTTGCTCATCCAGCATAAGTGATGGGGAGTGGAGCCATGGAGGTTTTTCTCTTGGAGTGGCTGGGTAAGACCTCTGTAAGAAAAGGGAGTGTTGAGTAATTAATTGAAACATGGGTGGAGTGAAGGGCTGACTAAACTCCTTGTCTCCACGGTGTGTAATGTTTGAGTGAGTGATGGGAAGGATCAGACAGGTTTTGTAGTATCAGTTGACATGCATAAAAATGCTTTTCTAGAAGTCATCAATTTAAAAAGAAGCACACAAAGGCCCAGTTTTACAGTCTTTGCTGGGACATGGGCTTCTTTATCACTCCAATTTCATTGAAGTTATGTTGTGGTTGGAAGTGGCTTGTGAGTGACAGCTGTAGGAATGGGGTTTATGCCAAAAGAGCTGGCTCCTCAATAGCAGGAACATATCTTATTTATTATGTATCTACAGAGTAAGTACCTTGTTAATTCATGAAGCTCTTGATTCACTGGGAGTGCTTCATATTTTCTGAAATTATAGTTTTGCAGAGAAAAAAAAAATCATTTGGCATTTTTGTTTCTAAAAGGGAAAAAACCTAAAATGCAAACATGTAAGCGAAAGTGTAGTAACTTGTTTTAGTGTTCAAACACCCTACTGTCTTAGTTATGAATTACCCATCACAGTCTTGTAAGTCCTTGCCAGAAATTAAATATTCCAGAAATATTTTAATAAACAGTATTGTAAGGTTTGGTTTTTTCCTCAGGCTTTGTAGATGAGGACTTTTTGTAGCCCACTCATAATTTGAATGAGTTTGATCTACATGTGAAGCACTTCTGGCTTTTTTTGTTTCAACCTTGATTTTAGTGATTTATCCACACATATAATTGTATCTGGATAGCATTCTGCTAGTGAGTGAGTGAGGACTCAGTCATATTGATACAGGTTCAGGTTCAGGATTGGTGCCTTAATTTATTGTGAATACTGGGAAATGCAAAATATTGATATATATAAAATATGGTTTCTTATATTTCAGAGATAACACGTCAGTTTTTGTGTATGAGCAAAACAAACCGATGCTACTTTGGGTTACCTTTTTTCCCAGAAATTAAACTACTGAATAGTGTTTTCACTCATTCTTGACATAATGGTACTTGAAATGTTCTTGCTGAGCTAATTAACTTGGAGACCACAGTCATAAAAATAACTGTAATTGCATTAGCACTTGTATTATCTTACTTTATCAAGAAAAGATCTTCAAAGACAGTGAGATTCTCAGTCATTCAAGAGGGTATGCAAATCAATCATCACTTAAGTGCTTCATGTCACCAACCACCCAGTGGTCACTAGGAGAAAGAACCACGTATTCCTAATTTTCCTAAAATGCTATTTATCACTGTGTCTTGAAAAGCCTCATAGTATAGCTCACTGTCATTATTCCCATTGTGCAGATTGGAAAATTATGCAAAGGTGATAAAATGTGTTTCCCCTGCACCAGCAGTCCTGGAAGCCACACCACTTACCCAGAAAAAAAGTTCAGTGTGTCGGCGGTTTAATGGTGCATCTCTGTGATTATATGTTTGCTTTTGTCTGTAAAATTAATGCATTGCTTTCTTTCATTCAGTTGGGACTCAAAACAGACAGCAGCCTCCTGTTCCTCTGATCTGTGCACAAAAGTCAACAATATCAAGAAAGAGAAATAAAAAGAGAAAACTGCCCCTCAAAACTATTGAACCAGTTGCAATGAGTAAGAAACCCAGCGCTGCAGAGAATGAAAAGAAGCTTTCAGCAAACTCAGAACGACTGAGTCTGCAAGCGATTGAACCTGCCCCAAAACCAGAAACCCCCGTTTCAGGATTTGGAATTATCCTTGAATCGGCTTCATCAGATGTAAGTTCAGGTTTTAACGCACAGGATCACAGGATTTTAAAGCACTAACTCATTCAGGAGAGTCGGTACTCAAATCCCATTGATGTCTCTTCCCACTTTTTGTTAGAATAAACAAGCAAATCCTGGGTAGGGGTGAATGGAGATTTAGGGTTAGATGAGGGGAGTGCTGATTACAAAGGCTGGGGGTTTTTTCCAACTTTTATGAGTGTATAGTTCTTCCTTGAGTTCAAAGCTCTGGTTCTTTGCGCTTGCAGTGGGAACTTGCTCTTCATCTCTCCCACTGCCAAGAGCCACCATGAGGTGAGGAGCCATGAAAAGTGCTGGATGTATAAACCATTCACAGCCAATCATTGCTGTTGAATAGTAACACGTGTGCCTTTATCCTACCAAGGGGTATTTATGTGCTCTCATGCCTGTCTGGTCCCACTGGCTCTGGGGGACTCCTCGCCTCTATAAACTTCATATTCGGTCTTTGCTGAATCCGGTCATTTAGTCTCCCTCACTGTGGTTGCTGGATGAGGGCCTTGACACTGTTGATGATGCCAAAAGAGGCCAAAATTTGCCTCTCTAAGAATGTCTTCTTTTCCCATGTAAAATTGCAGTAGGCATATTTTCTTGATTCGTGTACACAGTGATAGAAATCTCATGTATCTGGTGGCTGATTGGCTTTGTTTAATGACTAAATCGATGTCATCCGAACCAGTTCAGTGACAAGTAAACTGGTCATTACTTTCTCTAATATATTTTTAATTTTGAGCAGGCGCTTTCCAATTTCCTAAGTACTATGAGCTAGAAAAACATAATTAAATCCAGTATTAATAAGCATAAATGAAAACAATGTAGCAGATAATGTCCTACCTTTCTGGAAGAGGGAACTAATAATAAAAAAGAGCTGTCATAATAATTCAGTTACAGAGATGCAAGCCACACCACTAATTAGGTTGCAGTCTCATGCCAGTGTAGTGATACAGAGTAACTAGTTTGATGCTTTTTCAGAGGTTTTCCTTTTGTAGTACTGGGCTTAATAATGTTTGAGGGAAAGGTTTGGGGAGGGACTGGTAATTTATCTCCAGTATGCAATTTGTGCTTATAATTTTTCTTTGCTTGTGGCACTCTTGTCAGCTTGAAACACGGTTTTGAAAACAGTTTTGTACTTGCGATGGAATTTAATTTGGCTTTATGAATGTGTTCCATCGCTGGACACGATTCTTTGTAGTTGCCAATTTGACCTAAGGAAAAAAAAGAAGAGAAAACATGTGGCTCATAAATCAGGCCCTCATCTGCCCACCCATGCTTGGGCCCCTGCTTGCCACAGTAGTTGCTTGACTAAATTTACAGAGCCAGAACCCTGAGAGAAACAAATTGATTTTGCTTTGTCTTTGGAAAGAAAACATTTGAGTTCTGAAAACAGATACATTTAATGTGAAAATAAAATGTGACCCTAAACATTTTGAGAAAGCTAAAGAAAGTCACTTCTGTCAGAATGAATGGCAACATTATCATTTTCTATTTATTCATAAGTATCTCTGGTGTGCTCATGACCAGCATGTCTGAATGCCTGAAAAAACTGAAAGACACTTTACACAGCACCGTGTTCCCCTGAGGATATTCCATGGGTTGTCTGTAGTGTGTGCTGTGTCATGCACCACCACTGCTGCCACTGCTGTTTTGCCAGCACTTATTGAACTTTAAGAAAAATCCAAGTTTAACGGGTATAAAATTGGGGCTGCCAAAACGAGTGCAATTAGTTCAGACCTGCTGTGATGAAATACTGCTGCTTACAGAGATGGAAAAAGTCTTTGTGAGACCAACCCTTAATCTGGCCCATGGATCAGAGAACCTGCTTTTTAAATGTAATGATCTGTTACTCTTAGTTAAACGTTCTTGTGTTTGTTCTACAGTTATAGTATTTAATTTATAACCTAATAATTTTTAATCTATGTATTATAACCTACCAAAAAGTCTAGGATTAAATCTAATTCACTACCTGTTAATTTTAGCACAGCAGAAGCCTTTGGCATTCAGGTCTTATTTGTTTTATTGTACACAAATAGTTTACCCACCAGTTCCTTAAGCATGATCATTGTCTGCTAACAAGTGCTTTTTCCTTGAGAAATCGTATTCAAAGTGATCATAAAGTTCAATTAGTTACTGATTGTCTTTGATTGAAGAGTGGTTTACTACTAAAGGGAAAGCAAGAATAAATCATGTTTTTACCTCCAAATTATTTCACTGATAAATTGATTCCTATATTAAGAATAAAATAGCCAAACTAAAATAAAGCTGACTCCTCCATTCTGGTGCAGTGCTAAGGTTTGAGATGTATTTTATGACTGTATTACGGGGTGGTTGGTAACCTGTCAAAGCCTAATGCAGGTGTTCTAAAGTGAACTTAGGGAAGACAGAAACCTCCCACAGAGCAGAAGGGCAAAAACTTGCTTGATCTTGATTTTTCAGTATGAATACAGGCCATGAAAGTGGGGCCTCACAATCATCCTGGCTTTTGGGGATTTAAGCAGAAAAGGTACCACAAGAGTAACTGGCCTTTGTTGGTTCCATCAATGGTGTGGCCAGCAGGATGAGGCAGTGATTGTCCCCCTGTGCTCAGCACTGGTGAGGCCACACCAGTCCTGGGGTCAGTTTTGACCCCTCACCACAAGACACACATTGAGGGGCTGGAGCATGTCCAGAGAAGGGCAGTGGAGCTGGGAAAGGGTCTGGAGCACAAGTGTGATGAGGAGCAGCTGAGGGAGCTGAGGGGGCTCAGCCTGGAGGAGGTTCAGGGGTGACCTTCTTGCTCTCTACAACTTGCTGAGAGGAAGTTGTAGCCATGTGGTGGTCCATCTCTTTTCCCAATTAACAAGCAACAGGACAGGAGAAGATGGCCTCAAATTGCACCAGGGAAGGTTTAGATTGGATATTAGGAAAAATTTCTTCCCTGAAAGGGTTGTCAAGCACTGGCACAGGCTGCCATGGGAAGTGGAAGAGTCACTATCCTTGGAGGTATTTACTAGAGGTGTAGATGTGGCACTTGGGGACATGGTTTAGTGGTGGGCTTGGCAGTGCTGGGTTAAACATTGGACTTGATAATCTTACGAGTCTTTTCCAACCTAAACAATTCTATGATTAGTGAAGATGGTTTGTCTACCCTGGGTGTCTGTCATCCAGGTCATCTTAGATGTCTCCCAGAAGACCCAAGTAACAGACCAGGATACCTTCATCACCATGACAACTACATTCTGGGTTTTGATGAACGTGAAATAGAATTTTTCCCAAGCTGTAAACTTGGCCCACATTTATTTACTCTTGAAAATCTTTTCTGTCACCAGAAAGTTTAGAAGTAACATATTAAAAACCCACCTACATCAGAGTATTGTCAGATGTCAAATAGAGTAACTCTGACTGTTTTGCTGGATCCAGCATTTTGAAAGTTCTCAAGGTAAAAAACAACTTTTCATCCAGAACAAGCCGAGAAACTACACACTTTTAAGATTTTTTTTGTTGTTGTTGTTGCTATCTGCATGTTTTAAGATTCTTCATCCTGACTTCCCAAAGCATTGTAATCTTCATGGCTCAACACATATCCATATCTCATGACAGTACATTCTTTGAAAGTATCCTGCTTGCTATACCTCTCTTGATACTGGTTTTTAAAAATCCATGGGAAAAGAGTTACGCAGCCAAATTGTTCTGAGGTTGGCAGCCCTTTCTTCTGTCTAGACTCAAGATGTTTGCAGGTGATTTGATGGGAGATGGCACTTGCTCTTGCTCTGTAAACGTCTTTGAAAATGCACCATCATTGGTGGATATATTTTCATGTAGGAGAAAAAAAGTTCTTAGGAGCAAGGCTGAAATGTTGTCTTATTTTCATCATGACCACAGATTTTTTTTCCTCTTTGCCAGCTTCCAAACAATATTTTAAAAATTTTAGTTTATTCATGAAAAAATATAATGAAGAAATATAATTATTCCATGCAGAAGTCTTACATAAGCATTACGAAGAAAATTCTGCAAATACTGTTCATGTAATTTCTGATATGTACAGACAGGGGCAGCAAAAAGGCTCTTGGTAAGGGGACTTCTCAAAGGCCTTGCCTGCTTTGACCCAGAATGTACCTGAGAGAAGATTCTTGTGAAATACAGTATGGTTGTCTTTCCTCTTCTTCCCCTCTGTCTCATTTGCTAGCAGTCCTGTAAATCCCTGAGATTTCCTGTTGAGGATTTCTGTGCTGGAATAATCTCTGTCTGTCTGACATCATCCTCTTCTAAGAATGCGTTTTGGGAATATGAAAAGGAGGGAGAAATGGATGCTCAGCAAGGGTGGGCTCCAAGGGCAACTTCAGACTCATCATCCACCTCTACTCCTATGTGCCATATCTGCACTAGAAGCCCTCCTGGGAAACCATGTGGAATGGGCCAGTATCCCTGCATTTGTGCTTCTTGGAAATGCCTGGCTGCCCCACAGCACTTGGCAGTGAAACAAGTCCATTAAATGGTTAGATACATGTCTAAAACGCGTCTCTTAGGAGCACTGCCCTGGGATGATCCTCTGGGTTGCCATTATTACCCAGTACTGAAAGATATCTCTTGTCTTTTTGTTAGCTGCACACCTAGAAATAATGTCAGTAATTGTTAACTATTACAGAGGCCAGACAGATTATTTGATTTGCCTTTTAAGGTGCTTATTCACTGATGGGGTTTGATTTCAATGAATTAGGCTGCTGAGGTCCTGAATAGCTGGGAAGAGATCCCGTGGTTTGGTGATGTGATTGTAAAGTCTCATCAGATGCATGATTGAAATAAAACAATGTCTTTGAATGCTCGTTTAATTAAAGCATTTGTATTCTTTTGGTAGCCAGAAGTGCAACTTGCAGAAGGCTTTGATGTCTTCATGCCAAAATCTCAGCTGGACTCTATACTATCAAACTACACTCGCTCAGGAAGTCTGCTCTTTAGGAAGCTGGTCTGTGCATTTTTTGATGACAAGACCTTGGCTAACTCTTTACCAAATGGCAAAAGGAAAAGAGGGCTCAATGACAACCGGAAAGGACTAGACCAAAATATTGTGGGTGCAATAAAAGGTATGTTTTCTGCTTTCCTTCACATGTGTAATTAGAACATATTCTCAGCTAAGAAGAGTGTAAGGGGATTAGAATTTCTGACGTGTGTTAGGTCTATTAAAATATGCAGTCTTATTTTTATTCCCTTTCATTCACTTGTTAAAAATAGCTTCTACGGGGACAGCTTGTGTTCATTTTAAACCAATGATCCTGGTTTCTGAAGTCAGGCTCTAAGGTTAGAAACTCAATGTTCATATAAGATAATTACTTTTTTTCCCTGTATATCAGAGATGCCAAGAAATCTTGAAAACATAATGACAGTGTAACTGATACCCTTCAATCAAAATTCTAAGTCTTGCACTGCATCTGACTGTGTCTGCTCTGTAAATTGTTTAGTAGTGGGTAGCTGGACTGGGGAGAGATGGAGGAAGGTAATGCTGGGGCTGAGATGAGTTTGATGCTCATAAGAACCAGTGGTCATTCTTCTTGGGGAGCACATTTCTTGGTCAGTGTGAGCATCCTGTGCTGGGTGGTTTTTCTTAGTGATGACTGCTTTCTAGCTTCCAAAGAACACAAGTACCTTCAAACTCTGTGATCAAAACATATAAGGAGCTAGTATTAGACCAGAGGTTCTGAACTGGGTTCTATTTATTTTGAAATCTGATATTGTAGGGAAAATACCCAAGTTACCAAAAAACAGTCTATGTTGCAAAGCAGAGCTTATTTTAGAGGCTGTGACTCATCCTCAGGTACAGATTACTTACTTAGGAGACACAGGGCAATGAGAAGAGTTTCTGTTGTAAGTGTGTTGGCAGCAAAAGGAGGCAGGAGAACCTTTTGCAACCACCTCTCTGCCAACTTTTGGACCCCTCTTGCCATGAAAGAAGGACATTGACATACTGGCTTGAGTCCAGTGGAGGGCCACCAAGACTTACGGTACTAAAGCAGGGAAGTGGTGAAGTGTCACAGGTGGAGAGGCTGAGAGAACTGGAGAGAAAATGATTCAGGAGAAACCTTATTGCTGTCCACAACTACCTAGTGGGATGGTGTAGAGGAGATGGAGTCAGACTCTTCTCAGAGGCACAAGAGGCATTGGACACATGGAAAATTGCAATGTGAAGGCTGGACATGAAGGCCTTCAGAGGACCCTTCCAAGCTGTTTATTTCTGCAACGAAGTGTATGTTGTGCCTATGTCTTAGCCTTATACATTTTACAGAGTAGCTGGCAGCCTTTCTTACAGTTATGCTTGTAATCAAGTTTAAGTCACAAACATTTTTTTGTACCTTCCTTTCTTGAGCTCAGTAGTCTGCAAAAATCTGAGTCTGATTTCACTCTATCTCATTCTTCATTAAAAGCTTTAATAAATAAGTTAAATAGAAGAAAAAGCATTCAAAATTACTTTTTTTTTTAAATCTCTAATTTGAACAGCACTTGATAAAAGAAATGTTTTACAGCAAATGCAGCAGCACTATTAAAATAGCAGCCATCACCCCCTGCAGAGAGCAATGTTTCTCAGTAGCTAAGCCCATATCAGTGGAGCAAATTCCGAGACTGGTCTTAACCTCTTTGCTTGAGTTTGGGACAGGAAAGAGGAGAGTTGTAGTTCCAAGAGACAAATTTCGTTTGTAATGATACCACTAGGAACCACTGTAATAACAGTGATCTTTATTGGCATTTACAGTATTGCCCAAACGTTGCTGCCTGATTCCTGATAGGGAAGCCCATCCCTAAAAGCTCTGCTGGAATAAGATGCCAAGAGCTGACGTCCTGTGGATCTTTACTCAGTCTGGCTCCAATAGCACCCTTCTTCCCTCCGAGGAGCTGGGCTGTCACACACTGTAGTTTCATTTATTCCAAGAAATAACTAAGCCAGTATGAAATCTCTGCAGGAACAACATCATGTTGTTTGCATTATTATCATTAGCACATTCCTCTACCACGTGCCCAGATACCCTTTATTGGCACTTCTAGTCCTTTTCCATCACAGAGATACAAAAGGCTACATTCACGACAAAAAAGTACAGGGAATTTGAAGGAAGGACTGTTTGCTTGAAAATTGCTCTTCCTGTCTGAAAACATTTTCACTGCCATCCTTACAAGTAATTTAATGCTTCTGCAACAGGATGATTAGCCAGGGAGCAATTCTCTCTTTTGACTTTGGGTATTCAGTGGCACTTGTTGAATCAGTTGCAGTGTTTTTCCTGGGCAATCAGCTTCCCTTGTGTGCTGCACCAGTCTTTCACTCAGAACTGAGGAAAAAAAAAAGATGAAAAAATAAAAATAATCAGAAGCAGTTATTTTTCCTTTATGTTGTTGAGTAGGAATTCAGCCAGTGAAATCCTTCCCTGCAGAAATCAATGAGCTGTGTTCAGATATATAAGTGTGATGTATCCCTCAGGGATCCATACTGGAACCAGTACTATTCAATATTTTCATCAGTAACACAGACAGTGGTTTCTAGGGCACCCTCAGCAGGTTTGCAATGACACCAGTCATTGAATGGGGCAGTTGATTTCCTAAAGGGAAGGGGTGCCATCCAGAGGGACCTTGGCAGGCATGAGGAATGGGTCGATGTGAACCTCCTGACATTTAACAAGGCCAAGTGCAAGGCCTGCACCTGAGTCAGGGCAATGCCCTCTGTCAGGATAGACTTAGGGATGAAGGGATTGGGAACAGCCCTGCAGAGAAGGACTTGGGGGTACTGGTGGACAAAAAATTAGATAGGAGCCAGCAATGTGTACTCACAGCTAGAAAGCCAACCATGTCCTGTGCTGCATCACCAGCAGTGTGGGCAGCAGGTCAAGGGAGGTGATTCTTCCCCTCTACTCCGCTCTGGTGAGACCCCACCTGCAGTGCTGCACCCAGCTCTGGGGTCCTCAGCACAGGAAAGGCATGGACCTGTTGGAATGAGTCCAGAGGAGGGTCACAAAGATGATCAGAGACCTGGAGCACCTCTCCTGTGAAGACAAGATGAGAGAGCTGGTGTTGTTCAGCCTGGAGAAGAGAAGGCTCTGGGGAGACCTTATTGTGGCCTTCTAATATAAAATGGGGGCTTGTAAGAAAGGTGAGGATGGATATTTTACCAAAGCCTATGGTAAAGTGACAGAACAAAGGAGCAATAGTTTTAAACTGAGTGTAGGTTTAGATTGGACATAAGACCTTTTTTTTTGTTTTTATGATGAGGGTGGTGAGGCACTGGCAGAATTTACCCAGAGGAACTGTGGCTGCCCCTTACCTGGAAGTGTTCAATGTCAGCTTGGCCAGGGCTTTGAGCAACCTGATGAAGTGCAAGATGTCCCTGCCCATGGCAGGGGGGTTGGACTAGACAATCTTCAAAGTGCCCTTTCAACTCAAACCAGTCTCTGTTTCTGTGACAGAGCGATTGTTAACACTGTGCAGCTCAGATGGACTAGAAAGAGCAAGCAGGTCACACTTCTCCTGCCTCCTTGCTATTCAGTTCCCATTCCTTTTTGTCCACATTGGTCTTTCTCTAACCACACATTGAGCAATCAAGACTCTTTTGCCTTTCATTCAAGAAAAGAACAAACAAGTTAGAGAAGGAAGTTAATGTCCTCACTCTCTAAGACTCCCAGCCTCTGGCTCTCTGTGCAGGAAACAAGGGGCAGGAGTCGTAATTCCCACAGTGGACACCTGTGGCAGGTGGCCTGGGGACAACCTGGTGTCACGGGTTGTCCCCAGGCCCTGGTCACAAGCAGGAACTGCAATTGCAGTCATAAGTCATTAATCAGGTTCCCGTTGTGTCAGGTACCATATGGATTCAGAAGGGAAAGGGTATTTCTGCCTTCAGAAAGATGGTGATTGTTGCAAGTCAGACACTGTGAATGCGTGGGGATGTACTGAATTCTCTAGGCAGCCCTCAGAGTTGGTCTGACATCCTTGCAGATCAGACTGCAGAGGAAAGTATTGCTAATGCCTGTCATGCCATGGTTTTGTGAAGTTGTTAACATGGAAGGAGTTTGCAGGGGGGTATTGCTCTTGGTTCCTTTATACTTAGCAGCTGGCACTGCTTCAAAAGTATGTGTATAAAAATACTGAAATTGTCTTTTTTTTTGCTGCATATTTCCCCATCCCATTTGTGTGGCATTTATTCTCAAGGATTACAAATTCCTTGAGCTGGGAACAGTTTTCTCTCTTTGTTTGCCAGTCATAATTGGACACTGGGCTCTGAGACCTCTGACCAAGACTACAGTAGCAATACTAACAGCAATAATATTTTTTCTCTTTCTGCTCTTGTTTATTTTTTGCACACCTCTCAGTTGCATGATGAAAATCAATTGCATCAGTTTCACTCCTTTTATAATGTTATATTTTCAGTATAACATTGTTAGGTTTGCTGTAAATATGGATTTAAAGATAATGTTGACCCTCTCTGTACCGTTTTTACAAAATACAAAATCGAACCTGTAGGATATTTCTTTTTTCTATGTAATGGTGCTTTTTTTTTTTTTAAGTAGATTTATAAAAATTCTATTCTGTCTGGTTTCACAATATAAGAACCTTGATTTCCACAGTGGTAGGGCTTCAGTCCTTCATCACTTTGCCTGCAGCCTTAGGAACCTGACCAAGAGGTCACCAAATGACCAGATCTTCAGCTCTCTACCTGTACCATATGGAAGGCAGCATTTACAAGTGCCTGCCACACCTGAGGCTCAATTCAAAGTTCACTGTTATTTTTCTGTGGTCATTTTGTGTGAAATTCATGAAGACATCAGGTGTAGAACGTTTCTCTGTGACAGGCTTTTATATGTAGTAACTATGGCATTACTGTGATACTTATGCACCCAAATGACTTCTGAATTATGAACTTGTGAAATACTGGGTTAGGCTTTATTCCCACAGTCCTAGATTTGGCCATTAAAATTCTTTTTGATAAGTGAATAATTTGATATGTATCGATTACAATCCTCTCCAGTTGCCATTTCTCCTTTCTGCTGGCATGTTTCAAAAAGGTGGTGTCTTTTTATTTCAGTTTTTACAGAAAAATACTGCACTGCTAACCATGTGGATAAACTTCCTGGTCCTAGGGACTGGGTCCAGATTCTTCAGGATCAAATTAAACTGGCAAGAAGACGATTAAAAAGAGGCTCAGGTATGTATAAAAATAATATGAGGAACAACGTGTGAGTGTAAGATTAAAAGCTTAGAGCCTTGCTATCCACAGAAGTGTGTTGTACTTGTTCACTTTATGAAAACTGGACCTCTGACACTTAGGCGGTTTTTGTGTACAGTGTTTCCTTAGGTTTGGTATGGTAGCAAGTTTAGGAGCTGTCTTGGGAGACAAGATAACTTTTCATCTTTTTCTAACTCCTTTCCATTAGCACCCAAACCCTTCTTCCCAGAAGTCTGAGTCCTAAACTAGCTGATCTATCCAGGGTTGCAAGTAGAAGTTTTATAATTCCGCCTTTTTTGGTCTGACAAGCCACTCACTGCAATGTTAAGACATAACCCAGCTGACCTTTTCTCTAAACTATGTGTCTGGAAGGATAGATGAGTCTTCTCACATTCCTTGTGAAAGAATCAGCATCACTATAGCAGAAAAACCACCCACCCACCCACCCTGGTTGTGCCAGCAAGGTTCTGCAATACGTGAGAGGCAGCTTGCCAGCAGTGAGTAACAGGTAATCTAGGCAGGCTTTTGCAGCAAAGCTGCTCAACTTGGGCTGGGATAACCTGGGTGCTTGGGGCTGGGACCAGCCTTCAGTGGAGCTCAGCACTAAGCTTTCAGCTCCAGCCACAAACAACAACGTGCAGTCTCAAAATCCCCAGCAGAGTTCTGGGAGAGCAATATCACTTGATTGAGAGACATGTAATTATCTTATAAACCATAACTAGTCTCCTTTCTGTCTTCGTGCCTCCAATCCTAGAAGGGGCTTTTTTCCTACAAGGCTTCACTTACTCTTCCTCACCCTGCTGTTTCCCTAAGACTGTCTCAGGGTTGTATTTCTTGCCCATCTCTCCCTCGGCACATCTGACACTGTTGTCTGAGGCAGGTCACTTGTGCCAACCTCATTAAACACGGTCCTTCACTGTTGCTGTATTTAGCTGCCTGCCTTTTCCCCTCTTCTCTGCTGCCCATCACCACAATTAAGCGCCTGTTAGCCTCTGTTGGCTAATGGGATGGGAAACCTGATGGCTCCATGGGGGATGCTCACCCCGTGGTCCCTCGTGGTGAGCGAGACCACAGGAAATGTCCTCTCCAGCTCCCTGTCTCACAGATCCACTATTTTCTGTCCAAAGCTGCATCTCTGAAACACACACTTAGGCTGGCATCTGAAATCATTCTCCACAACGTTATTAATGCCAGGAGGGAAAAGCATAAGACTGAGGAAAATGAGAAACACCCAGAGACAGAAATAACACAGGGGGAGGAAAAAAGTGCAGATTATTCAGTAGCATAAGCTTCCCTGGGTAGAGAAGCAAACCAGCACTGGCCTTAAAAAGGGTTTCTTGTGTGTGTTGGGGGAGGGAGGACAGAGGGATACAAGATAATCTTGTTAAAGGCAGTGTCAGATTACTGGTGCTGTACAACAGGATTGCTTTCTGCCCCTTCCAAGGCTGCCTGTCACCCCCCAGGACAGGAGGGTGGAAATGGGATGTCAGGCTTCAATAAGGTGAAGGGTGCAGTGCAGGATGTGGGAAACAAAGGGTCCTTGGGCTGTCTGCAGACGATCCCTCAGGAAAGAGGATTGACCTAATTTTGTTTTGATTTTTATTTTCTTTCATCCTTTTTTATTTGCTTTTCTTCGTGCCTCTGCAGGATGTTAATTAAAATGACAATGACATTCAGCTTTTGCCTTTCAAATGGGGCCACCTCCATCTCTGGTCCTTGCTCAGGATGGGAGAATCTAAGCAGAGGATATTGTCTCTAAGCTAGCAAGACTGAAGGAAAATATGTGAAGCTGAGTATAGTGTGACAGAATCAGATAGGCTCCACTGTCTCTGCCTCCAAAGGGAAGGTAACTCGTTCACCTGTATGTGGATGAGTAGTGAGCAGCAATGTACCTGGCAGCCTCTCAGGTTTACTTGCTGAAAGAAACCTACACAGTCCCTAGATTGGTAGAAAAGCTCTTTTTTTTGTGTTGTTTAGTTTACTGGCCAATCCCTGAAGCGCCATGATTTCTCTCTGACTTGCAGCCACAGGGAGACATGCTCATTTCAGTGTAGCATAAGTGACTGAACACACCACTTGACCACCTGCACCCTTCTGTCCAATGCCACCTCCACTTGTGGCTTAAGCTTACCCAACCTGACCTTGCACTGAGGAAAAGGAGATGTTTCCAAGGCCTTTGTGACAGCAAAATGCTAGATCTGAGCAGAGAGGCAGGAGCAGACAGCTGGTTGCAGTAACGTCCTCATCTTGTTGAAGTAAGATTTGTTAGTATTTTTATGTTACAACTGTGAGCTTCTGATTTGAGTAATCTAATGCTGATGAGACGACAGATCCATCCAGTCCCATATTTTGTGTCCACAGATGGCTGTTAGCAGAAGCCTGGGGAGGTCTATAGGACTGGTTGAAATGTTTGCTAGCCTAATCTCTCAGCCCTCAGCAGCTTTATCCTGATGTAAAACTGCACAATTTAACTATTCATTGTGAAATCATGCCAAAATTGTGTGTAACTTACAGAGGCCGAAACAGGAGGGGAGGGCAGGCATGGAGGGAGGTTTGACCTTCTGGGAGAAGCTGTTCCAGGGCTCCATGTTGCAAAACTTAGCTTTTAAGAATCTTAAAACTGTGGGAATTGCAGCCACCGGGATGTGGGATTCATCACTCTTCTGGCTGAGCTGTTGAGCTCTTCCAGGCTGCCTGTGGCTGGTGGAGCAGGGGCTGAGCCTGAGTGAGTGTCCTCATGTCCACACTCACAGATCATTCCCTTTCACTTTTGTCTCTGCTTGCTCACTGAAACATGAGCTGAACCTGTAGGTATAGACTAAGGTGCCCAAAGAACAGATCTGAGCCAGCATTAATCTAACTTCGCCCAAGACTTTCTGAGCCAGTGTGTCTCCCTGCTGCCTGATCACACTTATTTATCTACATCAGTTCCTGGTTTGTCATAACGCACAGGCTTTATATGGAGAAAGCTTAAGATGATCCATTTATTTTACAGAAGCCACAAGACAACTTTTTAGTCAGCACTATGTTGAGCTAAATTTTAACAGCAGACGTATTTAAGAGAGGAGGGGCAGGCTTTTCATCCTTCTTGCCTTCCCCTGAGCCATTCAGTACATCCTCTGATTACTTCTTCATTTCAAACCAGGCAGTAAGACACTGCATTCATGAGCAGACCTGTCCACTTTATCCTGTGAAACATTATTTCAGTCTGAAAACGTAAATCCTGCTCTAGCTTTCAAGGATAATTTCAGAGAATCCCAGCAAATGAATGGGGTAGATCTGCTTTTCATACCCCTTTCTATAGGGTGTACTCCCATGAGTGTTTCCAAATTAAATGAAATCATGATCACTGGATCATAGATCCTGCCCAACTTCAACCTTATTTATCATGTTTGGCTCATCTCCTAGAATTAGGGACTGAAAAAGCTCCCTACTTGGAAAGCTAATCAAAAAAAAAAAAAAAACCTTAAAAATTCTGCTTTCTAGAAAATAGTTCCCCTGTGTAGATTTTGAAAGGTTGTTATCCTAAGCCAAATAAAAATTCATTTAAGTTCTGAATCAGTGACAATATTTTTCATAGCTGGAAATACTCTTTTTTTAATTTATTTATTTTGCTTTGGCTTTTTCTTAGTTCTTTTAGATTATTGCCTGAGATCTGAGACTTGAGTAGAGTTTTTTTTATTTGTTAGATCTGAGAATAAAGCTGTCACTGCCATTAAATTTTTATTGGCCTTGTTCAGTCTTTTCAAAATTTCACAAGTTGGCTGTCACAAAGGGGAGAAGAGACTGCGAGGTTAATGTTACAAGCAGATGTTTTAATTAAAATTAAAGAGTATGATAATATTCTTCAGCCTTAACTACTGGTCCCACGTCATGCCAACAGCACAGTGCACTGTAGCTCCATAGTGCCAGGTCTGTCTTCTCCCAGGAGAGGAGCTGAACCATTTTAGTGGATGAGATGGGATGCAAAATGGCCCTGGAAAGGAAGAAGTCAAAGGATGAGGCAGGTGGGTAGGTTTCCTTTCTAAAGCAGCATGAATTACAATGCAAAGTGCCTTTTAAGAGGGATCTTAAAACAGGTGAAATCAGAAGGAACTGACTGGCTGTTCCACTTCTGTGCCAGACACAGCATTCCAGCCTTTTCATTACTAAACTCTCCATCCATTAATAAGCAGCAGGTCAGGGGCCACACATCTGCCACAGTAAGTTCTTCCTCCCGTTTTATGTTTTGAAGAGCCCATGAGCCTTTATTCCGTAGCAGCTGTCCATGGTGAGACAGGAAAGCTGATGCTGTGTGGGTAATACATAATAACAATATGTAAATAATCACATGGTGGGATTCTTGGGGCTGTCCTGTGCAGACCCGAGAGTTGGCCTTGGATAGTCCTTGTGGGCCCCTTCCAACTCAGGATATTCTATGATTTTATTCTAATATTGCTGAAGTTACACAGGGTAGGAGCTGCTCGTGCAAAGTGATTACCTTGTGCATTACCTGGAAACTTTGGATTGCCCTACTCCTTCAAGGAAAACATGGCAGTGTTAGAAAACATGCTGAAAATTTTCAGACAGTATTAATTTAAATAAATGACATGCTGTGGCGCTTCATTCTTGAATTGTTGTTTAAAATTAGCACCTTGTTGCAGTGTAAAATAGTGGGAAAGAAGGGGAAAAAAAGAGTTTACTTTTTTCTTGGAAATGTGCCTTTTCTCCCATGTCCTTGTTCAAACTGCTGCTTCCATTGTTTAACATGAGCTTGGGGTTTTTTTTCTTTCTATTTCTCTTCTGATTCCCTGGTTTGTGCTTTTGACACAATATTTACATGCTGCAAGAGATCGGCAATACACACAGGGCCCAAGAAGGATATAGGATGAAGTCCAGCATGTGGTACAGTGTGTTTATGGCCAGTATTTTAGATAAAAACAGCGATATTAAAATGAGTAACTGCTGTATTCAACTCCCCAGCCCTGGGCACACATGTACATCTGTCCAAGGAACAAAGCAGCAAGTCTACACTTAACAGGCAGACCTGTGCGTCAGAAGCTACACAGTTTGGGGGGAGTCTAAAGAAACAACTACCAGGGTGGTTTTGCAAGAGCTACTAAACTCTACCTAAGCAAAGGACAGACAAGAGGCTCTGAATTCCCACAGTAGGATCTATTCCTGCTTGCCTTGTCTTGCAAGCTGGCTCAAGACAAGTGAGGTTTGGCTGACAGTCTATGGGTGCGGTTGTGAAAGGCAAACCTTCTTTCCTGCTTGGAATGACATGTGAGAAGCTGGTGTTTTATATCCATGTTTGGAGGTCAAGGTGTTTGTCATTCCTTTGTGTCGTACTTCACCTGGAGCTGCAGTTACACATCCAGTTTGATAAAACAAATTCTGGCAGCTGCTGAGAAGAGTGAGTAGCTCCCTGAGCATCTGCTGTGCTCCCACTCCCTTTCTGGCTCTGGCACAGGCATTCCTGTGGCCATGTTGTCAGTTTTTAACTGGATCTGGTCTTGGTGACTGTATAAACATTTGTGCTGGCACAAGGAAAGAGACCAGAACAACTGGTGGAGACCTGAACCTCATCTATCAGATGCCAGAATAAAATGGCCAGGTAGCTTCTGGTTCTGCAGAGTTGGAGACTCAAGTCTTTATCTTCTGAAAGCGAGGCAGTTCCTCACTCCTATTTGTTTCTTTCTGTATTACTGCCTTCCTCTGAGTTCAGTGTTAGCCAGGTGTAAGAGCAGTCAGGCAGAAAGGTGACCACGTCTCTAGTCCTACCTCAAGTGCCGCTGCAGAGATTTCCAGAAGAGCTGTCGCTTGAGTGGGCAGCCTTTGTTGGCACCAACCCTGATATTCATAGAGGGAAGGCTCTCCAGTTCATTGCCAGCACTCAGATCCAGCTTCCCCCATTTTCATAGCTTAGGTCCTTTCAACCCAAGGGGCCAGATACAGCTTTGTCTCTTGCATGTTGAGTTGCTGTGCCACAGAATCACCTGGTGCCGGTAGTTCTTCACGACATAGCTAGAAGTTGGCCTCAGACTGACACTCGAGATTTTTTAAGGTGTATATATCCTGCTGGCTGATTCTCAGCTGCTTGTTGCACGGTGCTGTCTCCTGCCTTGCACATCCAGTCCTTCCATCACTGAATCTGGTCCAGATTCAAACCAGCTCTTCCCATTTAGTGAGCCACCCATCCCTTCCAAAATTCAGCGTTTTCACAGGGAGCTGTACTGACTTTGTTTCTACCCAGCATGTCACCTTCTCACAAAAAGCAGAAAACAGTATCGATTCAAGGCACGGAGTCGCAGGTCTCTGCCGTGAACTTGTCAGGGCTCTGCATTTAAACCTCCTTCTGTGGGAGGAAAGCTGCTTAATGCTAGAGTTCCTAGTTTGTTTATGTTTTCTTTAGTTAATTAATTTTGCAGAACTGAGTAAAGACCACAAGACTAAAAAGTAAACTAACATCCAGGCACGTGGGAGACACAGCAGCCTCTTGGTCCAGGGATGGATTGCCAAGGGTTGATGGATTACATTAGGAAACTGGTGTAGATTAGGATCTGGATTAGTTTTTACAGTGTCATCATAAAGGCAACAACTCAACATCCTCATGTGCAGAACCATGGTAAAGATGACCAGGACACTTATCTTAGTTTCAAGTGGGAGCTGAATTGAGTTGCTCAGGACATCTGCAGTAGTGGTCAGATTTGATCCCTATGGATATTGTGCAGTGAATGGATGTGAGTAGATGTATATCCATCACACTGACCATGTACAGTGTAATTGATAAGTTTAAACTAAAAGAGGATTGATTTAGATTAGACATGAGGAAGAAGATTTTACAGTGAGGGTGGGAAAACACTGAAACAGGTTGCCCAGAGAGATGAGAGATGTGCCATGCCTGGGAACATTAGAGTTCAGGTTGGACAGGGCTCTGAGCAACCTGATCTAGTTCAAGCTGCCCCTGCTCATTGCAGAGGAGTTGGACTGTGTGACCTTTAAGGTCTCTTCCAACCCAAACCATTCTATGATTCAGTAATAATGGGCTTGTCCTTTATGATCTCACCTAGTTTGCTGAAGATCTCGCTGTGCTATAAAGGCCTTAAATATCATGCTGAAGTGCAAAAGACAAAGGTAGTAGGATTTTGGATAGGGCTTGTGTGGGTTAGGCACCAATTTCCTGTTGCACACCTATGACTTACTCAGGGTTCACATGCACCATCCTGGTACTGCAGCCTGACAAGTCCCTGCACATCTGCTGAGTGCAATGAGCTATCTTTATGCATACCCTTGGCCTCTGGCAAATGGGAGGTGAACAAATTAGGCTTTTAGCCTTCCTTCACCGTGGGCCAAATTAAGTCAAATGGTCTTGCATAAGCTGTGGGTTGCACAAAGCACGTGTGTGTACATACACAGTAATTGCCTGCATGGTTACGTGCCTCTTTTAATTACGCTGGGCACCCACCTGTGTCTTTGAAGACATTTTGCCCTAATAAATTTGGCCCCTGCAAAATGAACCTGCTTGTGGCCACAGGAAGTCTAGGTGCAGAAGTGGGGGTGTTCAGCCTTTCCCTGCAGGCATGGGGTGACGGCAGCTGTCGGAGGGTGGAGTTCCAGCCTGGGAGGCTCTTCCTCCAAGGTACCACTGGGGGTTTTCTTGTGACTTTATCAAACGATCGCAACTCCTTTTATCATACAGATACCCTGAAACCTTAAAAAGAGCAAGTGTTGCTCCATCCCATTGCTGGCAAAACTGCTTCTTAATACCCACCTCCCTCTTCTGAGTTTGCATTTTTATTATATGACCTTTTCCTCCAAGCGGTGAGTTTTTAACTGAGTACTTGCAAATTGCAGCTGAGGAAAGTAGATAGAAAATGCAAAATCACTCTACAGTCTGTAGCTTTTTAATCGCATTCCCCTATTCAGTGAAAGTAATGAGATTTCTTGTTTATATTTGTAATCAGCAGAGGCAACTGACTGTGATGAGAAGCCGGACATTTCTCTACTACAAACAGGTAAAATGCATTAAAATTTTTATCAGCCTCCAGTATGCGTGTTTGTTTATTTATGGCACAGAAGCAGTTTTCAGTAATCCTGGCTTGCCGTGTACAGCTGGGTAATTGCACACAGGACTCTCCTATCTAAAGTTTGGAGTGGCCTGTATTGAAAAACAAATGCATCGGAATCTTAACATTTTCCCCTCAATTTCATATTCATAAAACCTCAAGGTGTATGGGAGCAGCTAAGCTAATAAGGCCAGTAAGTTACCCTTCTTCTGCCAGATAGGGACTTGTGCTCATCCCTGATATTTCTGGGAGTACTTCTTATTTCTTAACAGAGTTATCAGTAGGGACAAACACAATAATTTGTAATGTGTTCAGCATCTGTTCGGTTGTCCAAGTTATTAGCAATAATATCTTGGACTCACAGAAGGATTGCAGAGATATTTATATGCTAGTTAAGTGTTGGTTTACTTATTCTTGGAAGTGCAGCCACCCTGCCTTAAAAAGCTTGACAGTTGCTAAACAGCAGCTTGGCTTTGTAGCTCTGTGGACTGGGAAATAACATATTTGTGCGCTGTTGCATTTGGTGTTGAAATCAAGACAAGCCAAGACTGAAATTTGAAGCACCCTCTCATTAAAAGTCAGTCCATCTATAGGTGCCCTGATGACAGGAGCTGAGCTGCCATCCTCTGAAGATGCAGTGGGGCCAGAGTCTGGGGAGATGGTCATTTCCCTGCATTTCAGAGTCATTTCCCTGTAATTTCACCGAGATGATGCCCCTTATCCCCAAAGCCAAATTAAAAGGAGGGAGGGTCTTAAGCAGACAAATAGAGTCAAGGATTATACTGCAGTTTTATGTTATTTCTGAGGTGCAACAATGAAGAGTGGTTGGAGATCAGCGATTCCATTGCTGTGAGGAGCAGGACAGGGCTGTTAACTGGGTTGCTGAGCACATGGCACAGTACCTGACATCTGTGTGGAGGACAGCAGACCACCAGTAACCATCACAGCATCTGTCTCTTGTGCAAGGGCTCCCTAATCCCTAATTGCCTGAGGGCTGGAGAAGGAGCTCTCGCACACCGAGGCTGTGTGCAGGAGCAGCAGCTGCCAGCCGTGGAGCACTGTCGGAGCACGTGCAGTTACTAAGGAGTAGGACCAGCGGAGCAGTTGGGAGGACAAGCAGCTTTAGTCTGGTTCTGGCATGGCCCCAGCGGGGGCTGGGAGCACGCGCTGCCTGGGATCTGCCGCGCTGCTTTCCTGGCCAGCCGCTGAATAATATTTCAGGGTACGCTCCTGACAATGGATGCAGGAAGCTCTGGCTTGAAAGGTCTCTTCCAAGTGACATCCTGTTCGTTTCTTTTATCAGGGAGGGAAGCAATTCCGCTGCGAGAGGACCCTCATAAAGGTTGCTAATGCGACGCAGTGTTATCTTTTCATCGCTCTGGTAATCACATTAAGGAGCAGAAGTAGCGGTTTGCTGCGCGTTTCTTTGAGCGCGGCTTCTGTAGTTACTACTTGTGTTGCACATCAGGGGTGGAAATGAGGGTGCTGAGAGGGTTGTGGTAGAGAAGGCAACACCCTTTCCTCTCCACAGCAAATCACCATTGTGGTATGCTTGCTTGTGCACCTTTGAGCATTCATGCATGCAGTTTCTCAGCTGGAACACTTGTTTGTGATTCGTACTACTCCATAGTACCCATGGAAGAATGCTTAAACAAACCAGACTGCAGATTGCACTGGGGGGGGGGGGGGGGGAAGTGATGCTCACAGGCTGTAAGCCAAGTGTTTGACTCACACCCATTATTATATGTGTGCAAGTGCCTCTTTATAGTACATACCCCTGTCATATCATACTGTTGTTGGAAGCAAAATATCTAAAGTGATATACAGACAGTATAATGACAGTAATTATTATGAATCAAAATACAGATGCTTTCTATCAAGGAATAGCAAAAGAGGCGGGATATGACTGTTACAGAGGTCTTTCTGTGTTTTAGTACAGCTGGTTTTATAAAGAAGTGTTACTGACAGATTCTTTAGAGAAGAATTCATTCAGGTGTCTTCTCTGTTTAGCTTGAAAAATCTTCAGGGAAAAGGCTCTCTGACAGTGTGTTTGTACAGTGCCTGGTGCAATGGGCCTTAGTTGCAGATAAATCATGGACTCAGGAAAAATTTCTTCTCTTGAAAGGGTTTTCCAGCATTGGAACAGGGTGCCCAGGGAAGCAGTGGAGTCACTGCCCCTGGAGGGATTTAAAAGGCATGTAGGTGTGCCACTCGGGGGTGTGGTTATTGGTGGGCTTGGCAGTGCTGGGTTAATGATTGGACTTGATGATCTTGAGGGTCTTTTGCAACCTAAATAATCCAGTCATCAGTGGTTAACCTGGTGTGTTGGTACAATAAAACCGGAGTGAATTGGGTTGCTTGAGGGGATCTCGCAGGAGACTGGATGGGGAGAAAAGATAGAAGCTATCTATCTGTGAATGGTTGCTGTCTCAATCTTCTGTAACTGAAAAGACTTGTGAAGGAAAAGCACTCTAGAGAGAATTATTTGAATCAATGGCAAATGTTGGTGCCAAAAAAAATGGAAAAAATCAGATACCTTTAATCTGTGTTTCCTGCTCTGTCAGTCCTGCTTATGACACTGGTGGCATAAAGAAGAAGATCTGGATATATGTGGAATAGCGATGCTGAATTGCCTCAGTCAGCACAGTTTTGGATCACACCCTCTGGCTGAGACTTCATTTGGGACACCTTAGTGAGACGTGTGGTTGCTCTCAGCTCTCTTCATTATTGGTGGGAAGAGGACTGCTTCCAAAGGGAGGGTCAGGTCAGCTCCAGTTGCATTTGGAGGTGTCTCTCCTTTGGTGCCCCCAGGACCAGGCTCTGAGGGCAGTTCACTGGTGCAGGTGCACACAGCCTGGTTTGAACCAGCTCCCTCTGTGCCCACAATTAGCAAAGTCCTGGGCTCTGAGGAGATCAGGGTGTGTTTTGTTTTCAGAACTCTCTTTTGGAACTCAAAGGCCTGGTAAAAAATGGAGATGGTATATCCTCATAAAACTGAGAAAGACATTTTTTCCCAATTATATTTTAGCACTTCAGAGCAGAAATGATGCTCCCATTGTAAAATCACCCTCCACACTAAGAGGGCCTTGGCTTTAAAGGCTGTTGATTGAAGGATGTTTAAAGTAAATTGCCAGAACTGTGGCAGTTAAACTTGCTGGGAACTTTGGTCCTTTGACAAATAAATCTCAAGAAAATACTAGAAGAATTTTCTGTTACAAATGTTATCAAAGCTCAGGTCTTGCAGAGTTCCAGCTTTTGCACCTACCAAAAGCTGAAGGCTGCATCCAGACCTGAGCTGAGACAGATCAGACAGCTCCAGGGGTAATTACTGCAGGCTAAATGGGAAGAGTGGGTAGTTTCCCGGTGATACAGGATACCTGGAAGGTGTGAGATAGATCTTTATCAGGATGACAATGTGGCAGCTTTTAGAATCTTTCTGTCTAATTTGGTATTGCAAAAAGGCTCATCTTATTTTGGTCTACAGTTTCTGTGAAGGATCTGAATTTTGTGTTTGAAAAGGAAGGCATAACCCATAAGTTCTGCATGTGGAAACAAATGTAAGCCAGCTGAAACACCCTTTTCTTGAATCCTTATCTCAAAAATTCAATTTGAAAGATATAGGCAGATATAGGACCATGAGGGAGTCCTCCTTGGACCACAGCTGAGCTGAGCGTTTGTGTAGTTTCTCCACGCTGGGGTTAATTTCAAGATGAGAAAGAATTTTGATATCCCTAAAGGAAGCTGAAACACTAACATCCCAATCCTCAGGTCTAGGGGTGATACAGCTTTGTGAAAAGATGAGAGCAATCTCTTGGTAAAGAAACAGATGATAAGAAAACAGCAACAATCCAATTCTATACAGGTTGTCTCCTTTTCTCTTGAAATACAATATCAAGAAAACGAAACTTGGAGGCAAAAAAAAAGAAAAACCCTTTTTGAAATCTTAAATATAAATCCTTTATTGTAATATAAATCTTTATCCTTTCAATGTGTGATTGTATGAGTCTTTGCTTTTCATTGGGGTGTATTTGCCTCTCAGGCTGATTGATGTCTGTCTTCTATTTGCCCTGTGTTCTTAGCGCTCTCGTCGTAATTCTTCTGTCCATCTTTTCATTGTTCTGTTTAGAAAAAGCGTATTCTTAAAGTGCTTTAAAAAAGATGGGATATAATCATACTGTGCACCTTTTATATATATATATATAAAATATATATATATATGTATTCTCCCATATGCATTTAAACTGCTGTGGAGTGTTTGGGTGGGTTTTTTTCCGAATAAGATGTCGAAGTACGTACTCCAGGTTTAAAATTCATGTGGTGCTTTTTTCATTTCTTCAGAACCTTAACTTCAAAGGGGTGAGCATCGCAGTGCAGTTTGTGCCAGAGCCTAGTGCAGCACTGAAATGGGCTGCACTGTGTGTTGTGTGAAAAACTTCCCTGGCAAATTTTGTATTCAAAAAAATCTATTTAATTTGATTTTCTTTAGCCAATTGAGCTCTACTCTAAATGGAACTCAGCAGCCACTGCCTGTGTGCACACCAGCAGTTCGGCCCCATCACAAAATTAAAGTTAAAACTCAAATACGTAATTTCCATAATTCTAAAATATCAACTTCTTTGTTGCAAATTACTGGTATGTTAAATTTTTATGGGTGTTTAACCTATTTCTTCAAACTCTTTCTCCCTCCAGGTAACCTTTTCGACACCACAACAGATCATCTGCTAGATGCAAACCCAGATTTTTCAGTTTGAGTTTCACATCAGTGTTCTTAGCGGATAGAAACACCCTCTCCTGTCAATAACATTCTCGCAAGCTCGGCATGAGAACTTCAGCATACTGGAGGATATGGACGTCCATACAGTTTTCCTTACAAGTTTGTGTTGTTTCCATGCGTTTTCCGTGTAAAACCGCCAGATTTCTTCACTGTTCTCCATCTCAATTAAAGGTGATTTCCCTCCATATCCAATGCATTACTGAATTAGTAGGGTATCCACTCTGAAGTCGTTCTCTTGCCTTTGTTTTTCCTCCATGATTGTATTTTTCCATGTGATTGTATGCTTGCCAGCAGTGTTTCATCTTAAGCCACGCAGAAGTGGTGACTCTTCCTGCCCCCAGGGACCAGGGTAGCATCTCTCTCCATCCTGAACCCTGGGGGCTCGATGAGCACTTGATTTGCTGAAGCTCTTCGCTTCTGCAGACCCACTTTTCCTTTCCTGGCTGCTGCGGTACCAATGACCAGTCATACACAGCTGTGATTAAAAAGTCCTTGCTGGATTTAGGTGGAAATAAAGCCAGATTCCTCCCAGCAAGACTGCAAGTTACAGCAAGGAGAAGCTATTCCTCAATTTCCCCTACATGGTCCTTGTGCAGTGGCTCTCGAGCCTCTTTGTAGAGCAGATTGCTGGAGGTGGTCATTCTCCCCTCACTGTTGCCCCCAGCTTGCCCTACCACCTCAATCTCAAAATGTGTTAATTTTTCAATTTCCAGGAAGCGAGTCTGCTCACTGTGATTTTTCAGCCACTGCCCTTGGTGACAATATTCACCTGTTTTTAAAAAAAAAAAGGTCACCTTTCGACTGGCACTGTGTTGATATCTCAGCAGCTGAGTGAATCGATCAAGAAATTGCACTACCCTCTTAGACGTGGAAAGGGTCGGTCCTTTCAGGTCAGGGCTGAGGTAAAACTGTACACAGCCCTCCATGCGAACCTTCACTTCTGCACCTTTCATCAGCACTAAATTCACTTTAAAAATGTTGGGAAAAAAATCTAGACGGTCTTGCCTGCAACACCTGTCAATCACCAGGTAGTTTGAGCATGTTTGCTGGAATTCGAGGGACAGCGTGCTAGAGCCTTTACCATTGTGTTTCCTTTCCCTGTGTGTATCTTAGGTATATTTGTTTTTTTTGGAAACTATTTGGCCTTTTGAGTGTCTCAACAGAAGTGCTATTACAAAGTGGGATGGTTTTCAAAATACTTAATCTTTTTTTTTTAACAACCCTAAAGCTCGTTTCTCGGATGTCATAGAATACCCACAAATAACACTGAAGCCAACGGGAACGGTTTGTTCTCTTGGCACCTGAGAAACCAGGCTCCCAGCCCTTCCCCACCCACCTTCCATGGACTTTTAGGAATGACCATATTCTCTCTGAAACTGTGGAATAGATTGAATGTGCACTGCAAACCTTAAATTTTGAGTCTTTCCTTCCTTCGTGGCTTGGAATTGCCTGCATTGGGCAGGGGGCTCCAGTCCATCGTGTCCGTATCGTAACCCTTCAGCAAGGAAATCAGCATTTTGTAAATTTGGAAGATTGCATTTGTGTTTACTTACTGTGACTACTGTTCAGACTTTCTTCAGAAATCTTTTTATAGGGTTTATTAGAGAGAAGAAAAAAAAATCATTCCATATTTAGGTAAAAATGTCTCAATCTTCTGTATATATGTTTTATTAATATGTAAATATTTAGATATTTTTAAATTACTATGTTCTTAATAAAGCGACAAGGGACTAGTTGTGAAATGGTGTATAACATTGTGTTGTGTTGCCGATCTCTGGGAAATCCTCTTTGTCAGTTCAGAAAAGAAAACCTACAATAAATAACTTTAATTCCATGTGCGTTCCTGTGTTCTGTGCTGGATTCACATGTTTTAGAGGAATTATCTGGCAATTAGTGGACTACACGGGGAAAAGTCTAGGAAAACCTTAAAAGTTTCCACCACAGTGCTGTTTTTCCAGCTGGCTCAGCCAGAAACCATGCTCCCTGCCAATCACAACAACATCTATCCAATCACATAACTCTTGAGTATTAAGTACTGATATGCTTGAAGTCTAATTTTACTTGAATTAGGTGCTTTTGTGATCTGCACTTAAAAGGTTAAGCTCTGCTTCTATGGAAACAACACAAGGGAAGGACAAACCAACACTCATAATTTGGAGTAGCGGCAAAGATATATGCTTGGTAATTCATTATCACACCCTCATCAAATGTTGTTTAGCCTTAGAAGATATTTCCTGCAAAAACACGTTCCTGGTAATCTTCCGTCAATTACAAGGAGCCAGTGGAGTGAAAGAGTGGCTCGCCACACCTTTTTGGCTTTATATAAGGAGTGCAAGGGAAACACTGCTGGTAAAAAGTCTGGTGAGAGTTTCCTTAACAATTTGGTGGCTGCACGACCCAGCTGGAGCTGGGTGCATGTGTTGCATCCGTGGGGCATGGCACGAGTTAGTGCAGGCCCTCCCCACTGAGGAGTATGGAAAGAGCATCTAAGCCATAGATCACAAGGTGGTTTGGGTTGGAAGGGTCCTTTAAAGTTCCAACCCCGCTGCCATGGGCAGGGACATCTTGCACTAGACCGGGTTTCCCAAAGCCCCATCCAACCTGCTCTTGAACACTTCCAGGGATGGGGCATTCACAGCTTCTCTGGGCAACCTGTGCCAGTGCTTCACCACCCTCACAGTGAAGAATTTCTTTCGAATATCTAATCTAAACCTACTCCCTTTTCCTTTAAAATTGTTGTCCCTTGTCCTGTCACTGCAGGCCCCAGTAAAAAGTCCCTCTCCATCTTTTTTATGACCTCACTTTAAGTATTGAAAAGCCACTATAACGTCTCCCCAGAGCCTTTTCTTCTCCAGGCTGAAAAACCCCAACTCTCTCAGCCTGTCTCCACAGGAGAGGTGCTACAGCTCTCTCATTATCTTTGTGGCCTCCTCTGGACCTGCTCCAACAGTTTCATATCTGGGAACTCCAGAGTTGGACACAGCATTTTAGCGGGGGTCTCATCAGAGCCAGTTAGAGGGACAGACTCACCCCCCTCAAACCGCTAGCCACGCTTGCTGTGATGCAGCCTGGGATACAGCTGGATTTCTGGGCTGTGATTTCACATTGCTGGGTCATGTCCAGTTTTATATCCATTTATCCATCCATCCCCAATCATATAATCATGGAATCCTTTAGACTGGAAAAGACCCTTAAGATTAGTTCCAGCCACTAGCCCAGCACTGCCAAGCCCACCACTAAACCATGTCCCCAGGTGCCACACCTACACATCTTGTAAATACCTCCAGGGATGATATCTCCACTTCCCTGGGCAGCCTGTGCCGGTGCTTGACAACCTTTTCAGGGAAGAAATTCTTCTTAATATTCAATCCAAACATCCCCTGGTGCCATTTCCTCTTGTCCTGTTGGTTGTTAGTGTGGAGAAGAGACTGACCCCCAGCTAGCTACAACCTCCTTTCAGGGAGTTTTCGAGAGTAACAAGGTCCTCCCTGAGCCTCCTTTTCTCCAGCCTAAACACCTCCAGCTCCCTCAGCCGCTTCTCATCAGACCTGTGCTCCAGACCCTTCCCCAACTCCGTTGCCCTTCTCTGGACATGCTCCAGCACCTCAATGTTTTTCTTGTAGGAAGAGCCCCAAAACTGAATCCAGGATCCAAGGTGCAGCCTCAGGTGCTGAGTACAGGGCAACAATCACTGCCTTGGTCCTGCTGGACACACTATTGCTGATAAAGGCCAGGATGCTAAAGTGTGGCTTTGTTTGGCTTGTTTTTTTTAAACAAGGGGCAGGTAAATACACTGTTATTTGTAACATTGAAGTGGAGCACTTTAAATTGTATTTAAGCTACAATTATGAGCAAGAAATGTTGCTGTGTGCTGCAATTTGCAAGGCACTAAATCTCATCTGTGCTGCAAAGCCACCAGAATGTACTACTGCCAGACTGCAGTTTCACCTGTTGAAACAGCTTTAGGATGGAGCCAGTGCCATCGTCAGCACCCACACATGAGCTCCAGCCAAGCTCCAGCATCCTTGCTGGGCCATTCATCCCTCTATCCTGTGTGCAGGACACTGGAGATTAATACTTTGGCTGAAAAAAATCCTTCTGAAGCTGAAGAGGAAAAAGGATATCCTCCTGGTAACATGAAAGGAAACTGGAGCCTGGGCTTTATAAAAAATGCATTAATTGCAAGACAAGAAGAAAGTCATCTCAGGTGCCTGTGACATGTTGGTTTAGAAACGGCTGGCTGAGTCTTTTGGGGGAAACACAGGCTGTCACATCAGAGTGGTTTGGGGATGGATGGTCCTGATGCAGCCACCCCTCCAGTAGAGAAAACTTCACCCCAAAAAATCTCCCTTCTGCTGAGGCCTCACTGGGAAGCACATCTCTCCTTTGCTGGGGAAGGGAGGGGACATGGTCCTAGGAAAAAACCCATGGAGCCTCCTAGAGAAACAGATGTAGCCAGGATTTTGCAAGAAAAATAACCCCCTTGTGCCTGTTCTCCTCTAAATCTAAAGGAGCAAAGTGCCTTGTAGGAGGTGCTGAGATAGCCTTCTCCCTCCACTGGCTCTCCCACTGCTCAACCATCCCCACAGCTGGGCTGGGGCAAGGACCTTCACCCTTCCTGCCACACTGTCATCACAGAGAGGCACAAGAGAGGTTTGTACAAGTAGGTCAGGTATGATTTCTCATCCGTTGACTGCTAATAAAAGCCACCGATGTGAAACCTATAACATTATGTGTATAAATAATTTAGCTCTGGTGTGTAAACATCAATTCTGGGCTCAAAAAAACCCATAATAATTCCATGAGCTTTTTCTCCTCCCCTCCATGCATATGTTGTTATGGCTGACTGCTAGTGAGGGCAGAAAATAGCTGATAGTGGTGGAATTTGGAAATAGGGGACACACACCCTTTGTGTTTCTGCACTGGCTCCTTCCTCCACCCAGATCCTCAGAGGTGTAGAGGAATCCAACATAACTATATTTTAAAGTGTTCACAACACCACTGTTGGCCCCGAAGCTACCAAACGGTATGGGGTGAAGAGCCTCATCCACCTCTGCCCAGCAAGAGCCATCACAGGTGAGACAACCACAGTGGCCCGTGGCTCCTTCTGGAGCGTGGCTGTGGGGCCAGCTTGGGGTGGCAGCCATCACCATGGCCAGGGATGTCCCCTGGTTGTGTCCATCACCGACTCACTCAGGAGAAATGTCATTTTTAGGTGATGCCTGGGCAGGTCAGGGTGGATGGAAAAGGCCAATCCATGTAGCTCTGCAATCCACTGACCTTCAGGTGGCCTGGAGGACCTTCCCTGCCCCAGGGTGGTTCAGCAAACCATCATATGGACGGCACGTGGGAAGTGCTCCTGCACTCCAGCAAAGGAAATCAGTCCATGAGACTTTAAAAGAAGCCTCACTGGCAGCAATGCTTCCACAGCACAGTATCCCTGCTCTGCTTTTGCCTTGTGCCCAGCCCCACCCCAGAGTCACCAGGTGAAAGTGAGTGTGGGCTGGAGAGGGATGAGGGGGCATTTGCATGTCAGGACACTGTGAGCTGTGCCAGCTGCCCGACGAGTCACCGTGAAGTCAGCGCGGATGGCTCTGGACTGGAACCAGCATGTGGCTATTGCCATTACTGCGGCTTAGAGAAAGCAAAGATTAATGTAATCATTTAATCCCGAGAGATTTCAGGATTCACCGACTGTATCTCATGTCTCCATTCATCACGGCACAGGGGATGTGTGTAAACTACTCTGCTCTTAGCTGGACCTCTGCTCCCTCCTGATTTCCCTTTCCCTGAGCTCCTGCACGTGAACTCAGAGCCCAGCTCTCCCTGCTGCCACATCCCTGACTCCTGACACAGCTGTGGTGGGTCCTGCCCACAGCATCCGACCCACTTTTTGGCACCACCCACCCTTTGTTTTCTTGACTTTTCCTAGTGATGGCTCAGCCCCCAAAGCCCAGACACCTCCACCTCCCTGATCTGATGCTGGCAGCAGCAGTAGGTTATCCACTTCCTACATCTCCATCCACTCTACCTGTACCAGGATGATGCTGTGGGGAGAGCCAAGGGCAGCCAGACTGGGTTGGACACCCCGCAGGGAATGGGGTTTGCCTCAGGGTTAGAAAAAACCTTTGCCTGCATAAAACTGGCCCAACCACCACATTCTGGCCAGACAACAGGACAGCATCAGTGACACCTGGTGACTTGCAATGTATTTGTCCTTTCTATCCCTCTGGTCCAGGATACCACACATGATCTGACACCATAAAGACACCCTGCTTGGGGGTCCTGCCACCCTTGCTCCCTCTCCCACGGCTAAAACACAGGCAGAGGCTTCTGAGCAGCCCATGGCTACCCTGAACACCCAGGTGCTGCTGCCAGTCCCCAGGAAGGGGAGCCAGGACATGGCAGAGGATGTGCTGCATCCCACAGAGACGGAGTTTTGGGTGCTTCCACCAAACCTACTCCATCTCCTGCCTCCCCTGCTCAACAGGGCATCATCTTCCTGGCTTCATCACCTGGACAGCACAGAATGCCAAACCCCCGTGCATTAACAAAGATCTTGCATTTAACATTCACTACAGAAATGAGCTCCTTCACTGCCCTCCACTGAGCGTGATGGATCATTCCCCATCTCTCATTTAAGGTCTTCTTCAAGAAGACCTTCTGCCTTGGCCATGGGTCACCCACACACAGACTCGCAGCACCCATCCCAGAGGAGTGGGGATTGCCCTGACCCAGGTGCAGCACCTTGTACTTGGACCCACTCCTCATGCCTGCCAAGGTCCCTCTGGATGGCATCCCTTCCCTGCAGCACATCATCCACACCACTCAGCCTGGT